GCATATGCAAATCAGGTGTTAGCTGATTTTTTTTTTACTTCTCGACTCCCTCTTCTCGGTGAGGAGTCCGTAGATCTGCAAACTCAAAAATACTCGCGAATATAATCGCCTCTCCACTTTGCGTCAGCCACATGTTAATACGGTAAGCCGGATCAGGCTTCAACAGCAAAAGGCGTTTATAAATCGTATCCTCTAGCCTGATTGAAAACGAAAAACTAACTTATAATTATCAGTCATTAACAATCATGTTTATCATACATAATACTGCTACTCTACTGCATAATGCTTACATACTATTAATCATAATTAACATATTGTTTTTAAAAAAGCTTTGCGTTTCAAGCAAAGCACTCGCAAAAAACGATCCGTTAGACTTATTCAAACACACGAAATATATATTTACCAGAGGACCGTATCATCTATAGTGGCTAAATCTACATAATCATCAAATTAGCACGCAAATTCAATTGTTGTAGCCTGCCTTTACTCTTTTACCGTAACACCGTAGTAATACCGATATCCGTTTGTCAACAGTCTACTTCTGAGCGTTAAGGTACGACTTCCGTAATAACAAAATAAAGTACCGAGTGAAATGTTACTGGTGCATTACTTATAAATGCAGGCATTGTAAGTTCGTGAACACCGGACTGAGACGGCTATGACGTGAGGTGGTAGGTTTACCTTGCTCCAATGACACCGCACAGAGACGGGCAGTTTAAATAAGACTTCTAAATTGTATTTTAATATATTTAAATCTTAATTAAATTTAATTATTTTATTGTGTTATTAAATTGAATTAATAATAATTACATTTGAGAAAAATACAATACGATAGTAGATTAATTAATATACTACAATATTCGATCTGCAAACTTTACGAATTGCGCATTGGCGTTGTCCTAATATAAAAGCTGAATACCCTTGCTTATCCAGTTCATTATGCATTGAACCTTCTGTGCTATTCTCTAGGCTCTGACGACCTAAGAGATTAGGCTAACTCCAGCAAGTCGTATTTCTAATAGCGCAAAATTTATGCACGAAATGTCGAATGGTTCTAACGGGGTTCTATATTCCGTGGGGCAGAAAAAAGTTTTTCGATTGTTCTTAGACTAACAAAAATACTAATTGAGATAGCTTAAATCGACGTTTACATGTTATCCTGGTGTTATGTTACTGAGGATTTAAAATTAAGATGAACATTATTAAGGCCTCTTGAACTATTGGGTGGTTTATACTGCCATTTAGAACACTCATTAATCAACGGTTAGTATGGTACCTTGCAAGAATCATGTACAATAGATAAATTTTGTCTGCAATACGCTCGCTCGGTGTGACAGGCATAATGTACCTATCCTGACAGCCATTTCTTAAGGAAAAGTCTAAGATCGTTGTTGTCTGATGATCCAATACATTGTACCAGCTTACGCCCAGATAACTAAAAATGCTACATTTCTAATTTTGAAAACAAGTTTTGAGCAAAATTGTTTAATGGAAATAAAGTACGTTTAGGCCCAAGTCTTTCGTGGGCATCAAGAGTAATCTGCTGCTACAAAAGTGTCAAGCAGTTGTAGCAGCTGTTACGGATTACTTCTTCGAACCCGTACCAGTACTTCTGAGAATGAGTCGCCCATTTTTACAACCAGGAAAAAAGCAGTCAATTTGATATTGGAATTCTATTGTTCTTGATTGAATCCTTGTTGATGAATGTTGTTACCATACGTAGGTTACACGAGGATTACGTTTGTTGTGTCTTACGAAATCCAACTTGATTATTTGAATTGTTTTACCGTTCTCGTACAATGCACTTCTAACGATTCCTGCTTTTTGCAAAAAATGGCCCAGTTGTTCATCAGAAATTCTAGGGTGATAGCACACTCAGTGACTGGCTGTTGTAAAAAGCAGTAGGAAAACAGAAAATCTGAAATTTATCAGAGTGACGAAAACGCGTATTTAAATACGTCTTAAGCGTTTCGACTGTCAAAATCTGCAAACAATTAAGAGATAAGTTCCCTCAAAAGAAACAAAGGAAAAGTTACATAAAAGGTTACACATTATTGAGCATTTCAATGTAAGTAGCAATGTTTAGAACTAGTAAGTCTAAGATATAAAAGGAGTCAGATATTCGTCTTTTTCCGGCAACATTACTTGCACTAGCAGATCGTCTGTACACAAGTTCCTTCTTTCAGCAGGCTTCAGTGAACTATGGATCGGTAATCAACAGATCCGCAGGATTAATGTAGATCTGAGATAGTTTCTAACCGTAACTCCATATAGCAGACGACGTGCGCTGCAAATAAATACCAATATTAAGATCACATCATTTCTTTGACCAACTACTTCAAGTCGGTCCATCCGCGTCGTGTACCGTACAATAATATGCTTTTCACGTATACATGCATATGGAAATGTTATTGTTGATATTTTCTAATAATTCAGTAAGGCAGCCTACAAAGAACCATGTAAGATAGGGTGAAACTACTAATAGACTTCGTGTTGGTGACAAGTGCGTTGCCATAGAGAAGAGAATTAGAATCAAGCAAGAATCCGCACACGAAAAACACAATGAGCGAGTGAGGCGGCGCAATAATAATAACAAAAAACAGTTTTCTATTAGACAGCTTCGTACAGAACATGAATTTGCATCTATAGAATTTGTGACTGTGTGTACCATGCGTAAATAGGTTTTAGTAATTGCAAGAAATCGCTAATTACGAGCCAGTGACTTGATGTTGTGTGTGACAATAGGAAGACGAAGCCCTTTGCATTACAGTTATAATTACTTTTTACCGATAGCCCCTTGAGACCTGCATACATGCACAATTTTTTTATAACAGTTTAAAAGGTATCGCGTGAAGGATGTTGTATGTTTTTTATAAACACGGGTAATAACCACGGGTAAAAGCCAAACCTCTAATTTCTATAATAGTGAAAAAGAAACAGGATAATAAAGAAGCAAATATCGCATTATTTAAGATGTTCGACATCTGAATGGGAGGTACTGTATACAAGTGACATCATATACTCGACGTTTAGATAATTGATTGCTTAAAAAAATTTCGTAATTTTCACGATTATAACTACCGCCTAAGTGACAACATGTTACGTTAAGTGAAAAATCAGAGTCATATCAACAGAATCTTGGGCGAAAGTTAAGTTACACAAACTTAAATATGGCATATATTCAGAACAGAGCATATTTTGATATGATTTGAAAGCATACTTTGTTTGCAGAAATTACAATATAACAGTAAAGAAAATACGTGGTATAGAAAAAGTTCCACAGGCACACCATATGCTGTACAATGCAACATTGAAACATAAACAAGCAGGTCGTAAGCAAAAGACAGAGGAAAGAAGATGTACAGTGGATATACGTCTTTTAACAATTATCTGAACCGCTTACCATTTAATGCCCTTTCAAAAAGCGATTCCAAGTACCAAAGCAGAAGTACTGATCTACAATGGTACACTACGTAACTTCTGTCACCATCATTGGTGCGTATGGGATAATGTTTGAATTTTCCAAGTGCGTCATCTGTTTTTGTTTATGCAGACTGGGGTCAAGCGAGAAAAAATCTGAAAATGCGATTTTTAATAAAATTCATTTATCGCTGAATTATTGCCCTAAGCTGAATGCCCAGATACCTCATATATTTATAAAGTATTGTGTGCAAATTAAGTACCAGGAGCGTTTGAAGAATCTCTGTCTTCAGTAAAATAGGTCACATTTATTTACGAAATAATACATACAGGCACCAGCAAGTAGTCCTACTTTCGTAATGGTTATATCAAGGCAGATCGTTCCTATTTATATTTTCGACTTCAGCTCTGATAAACGCGCAGAGAACCATTTGGAAGAACAGTTGTCTATTCTGAGATAAGTCAGGACCTTTACGCAGTATTATGCCACATCTTAGTCGCATCTAGAAAGACCCGTACAGCTGCGTTACTTCCAAGCTAGGAATATTTGTGCCGCTGCTGCTACCATGCTGAAACTGCAAGCCGCTGAAATCAAATTATATCGGCCAGCGAAGACGAAATCCGTATTGGCTATCTACGTACAGATCAATTTTTTCCACATACTTCGTTAATCAAGCTTTTGCGCCACGCTCGAATACTTTACCACTACATTTTTGGAAACATAATTACTAGTTATTGAGCTCTTACCTTTAATGAATAAATGATTATTGATACGCTTGGTGTGGAGCTAGCTTAGGCACATAAGGCACGAGCGAGCCCTTAACTCAAGCTTTAAATTGGTGGCTAACATAGAAGTAACCCTCAAAGTTATTTAGGTGTCTTCTGAATGTTTTAAAACTCCGTCAAAAAATTTAGATTGCAACTTTGAATTTGAAGCATTTTTTGAAAATTTTCTATGGCAATCTTTCGCGATAATATCTCTATCAGCATCGTCAACAAAAACACATCTTTCCTCGGGTTTACTTTGGACGCTTTCAAGAAGATATTTCAAGATAGGTAGCTTTTGGAACAGATTTACCAAAAAAAGGGTACCGAACAGTTAATAATATCTTATTGACATATTCCGCGCATTTTTTGAAAAATCTGGACATGTTCTAGGAAACTATTTCATCATTTTGGTGAACTTCGACCTTACTGTATTCTCTAACTATAATTCAAACCAATTTAGTAAAGCGATTTTAAGTTTGGACTCGAAAATCAACCTGCTAGTTTCACTAAGTGTATAGGTATAATTAATTCTAACCTAAAAATTTTACTTCCAAAGGTCTCACCTGTAATAGCATCGCGCGCCAAACTATTCGAACTGCTGTATCCCTCCGCAATCGCCATACCCAAAGAAGCGAACGGAAACATAGCCTACAACTGCGGCATAATGCACCTAGCACAGCCTCGAAAGATTTATAATATTCAATCTATGTTAAGTGATTACACTAACATTTTCTTAACGCACAGCAGCACGATACACAGTGCTGTCGTTGGCGGATCTAGCTGTTGGCGGTCATAAACCGCCTGACAGCAGACAGAAGCAAATGGGGACGTCTGTTTGCATGTTGTTCAGCCTAATACAGAGGCACCCTATGAAAAACAGCCATTGAACATAGTTCTGCTATCGCCATCATCGCTGTTGTGACGACAGTTGCTTCTTCATCGATTTCTACCGCTACGATCTCTACGATTGCCATTGCTGTCGACGAACATCATTTGCGATTCGAGAAGTGGGGGGAGCTGGTTGAACATTGTGGCCGTAGGATGCTTTTTAGTAGCGGTGCTGTTTGATTGTGGCTGTTGGTGTTCAGCTGAGGGTTTTGTGGCCATAGGCTATGTGTGTGTCTGAGCGATTGGATACTGAGCTCAACAGCAGCATTATTATTGTTGCTCTTGTTGAATCATAAATGGTTTTGTGAGTTCTATAAAATTTCTCGAGGATAGACAGAGTAGCCCTCAGCGACTACTGATAGAAAGTCCATTACATCGTTCAACGGCTCCGATATTTCTCTCGAGTCCCGTGTGTGACTAGTGGGTGAAAAGTTAGCTCGCGTATCGTTGAACAACTCAGAGGGCTATTAGCGACTGGTTTAGGTACCACTCACAGACGAGAGCAAAATGACGATTGATTTGACAGTGAAAACGTTGGATTCCAACGTATACCAGTTCTCAGTGCCTGATGAGGTAAGTGGATCGTTCTCCCGTACGATCAGAATACTGTATTTATTTAGACTTTAGGATAGGATATTAGGAAACGAGTGTGATGATACCAAACGAACATATAGGAAAACAACTTCAATCATTTGTTCAGCTCACGGCTGTTGGTATCGCTTTGTTTCCATAAAATCGACGAACATCATCTTTACAATTCCTGGCAGATAGAAAGATATATAGCCTTTGAGTTTCGTTGTGCGCTGTGCAATGCCAAGTGTCAGCAGAAATGGCCAGAATAAACATGCATGAGAAGGGATCGCGGTATAGGAAGCGTCTGACTAACACTGACTTACCCCATTTCTTATTGTCATATGTACAGCAGGACATAACAAAATAAATTACACAGTATATCAGTAATGCCACCTTAAGAAAACTGGGATACATTCCGAATTAAAACTAGGTAAGATTTCCCAAAGCACAGATAACACATGATGTAAAAATGTGTTCATCATATTTCGGTCTTTGTGCCTTTCCACTATATGTCTGGCTATTTCACTTCTCGTTTTTTTCAAATTTAGATTTTTTAAGTTAGTAACTTCTTGGTCAAAGTCTTCGTGCAGGCTAGCAATTACGATCGCCTACGCGTTAAAAGACACTTATAAGGAACCTACGTTGGCACGGCTGAGGCACTGATTATCTATGAAAATATGTTAGATATTGATTTGATGGTAGCTTTATCAGAATAGCCGAGAAAAATTCGAAAACACCAATAAGGATCTTAGGTTAAGGTCTATAGTAAAATTAGCTTCGTAGAATGACCTTTTGTTTATACATTTACATATATGTTCTGAGAAGTACACATAAAACAAAAACTGCATTATTTGTACTTTTGTTATCCGGTAGAGTCTTTTGGTTTACTCGGACTTGTTTTTACTTCTTGCCGACATCACGACAGTAGCCTGGTTCGTAGATAATTGCAGAGTGCAACTCTCTCGCACATATTAAGTATGGTTGTGCTAATGCACTACTTTGTATACGTTTCATGCCAATAGAAAATGTATATGTGTTTTCCTCAAGATTTAATTTTTGGTTATATCTGAAAAATAGCATTTCTTTTTCTCGATGCTTACATTCATGCTGCAATAATATAACTACAGTACAAATCCTGTCTTTTTTTACCATTACAGTTCACAGTGAAAGAATTTAAAGAGTACATCGCTCAAACTGTGGTAAGTAGTTTAGTTCTGAAAATTTTCGATATATATATCTATGTATGTGATGTAACACATATATGCACATGGCACATGTAGTCCCAAATTGTGTTAACTAACACTTCTCTACGGGATATTATTCCAAATCGATGTGTAAAGGGGACTTGGATTTAGATAAATCTTATTAAAATCATTTATAGACGGAAAAACTCGGATGAAGCATCATCCTAATCAATAACTTTGATTAACCTAAAATCTAAATTGTGGATTGAGCACTATTTTTAGCGCTTCGATCTGTAGAGGCTTACTGCAGATTACGCAGGAATTAGGTGTTTGGGCCGTGGAGCCGAATCGATCCATTGCTATAAATGGCTTGTAAATCTATTGATGTCCCCCCCTCCTATCATACTCAACTTTTCCTTCTGACACATTTAGGGACATATTTAATAATTTTTAATCGACGAGACTTGTATATCTCCCCTATGAAAATGTTATTATGCTAACTTCAATAATATATGTTCGTCTATGTGCGCGGTCGTGCGCGTGCGGCTCTTGTTTTTGTTGTTTTTGGTGTTCCTCTTCATCTTGATGATTGGACAATTTTGTAGAGCGTTGCCTGGGACAAACAGCGCATTATCTTCGGTGGCAAAGTTCTGCAGGACGACCACCGACTGGCGGACTGCAACGTTGCAGGAAAGACCGTTCATCTGGTCCAACGAGTCCCGCCCCCAGCTTCACGGGGGCCAGTAGCTGTCCCTCTCGATGACAGTACATCACGAAACAGCAATAACTCTCAACAGCCGTCACATGGAGAACAAAACCGCGTTCCCCTGTAAGCGCCGCATACCGCGTTGCCTTTTTCGAAATGAGCGAACAACTAAGAAAACAAACAAAGGCAAAGAACAAGTCGAGGCAACAGTTTCCTTCATTTTGTGACACGTCTCTATGTGCCACGTGTTCTAGTGTGGCAAAAACTGTAGCCAAAAGAAAATGTTTGCAACATTTCCATATCATTTCATGTGACTGCTGATGTTTTTAGAGCCAATCTAGGTCAGCTTAGGCTGATCACTTTGATCCATAGATGTCACGGTCACTCATATCTCCTGTGACTTGTTGATACCAGACCTGTGTGGGAAAAGTGTAACTGATATAGGTGTCCCACATGGCAGCATAGCAATTACTTTCCTCGTTTGGTAGCCGTAAATGGTGCACTTTGCCGAGTTGCAATAGTGTTTTTTTTGAAGCAGTTGTATATCTTTATTTTACCTGCGTACGGTCTGATGCAGATCTGGAAATGTTATTGGATTTCTAATTCACGAGTTGTGTAAGACAGATCGTCAAACCACATGTGGTAATTTATTCAAAGAATCACAACATAGTTGTGCGTTACGCATTGCTTTAAATCAATTCTATTGGAACATTTATTTGTTGACATTGGTTTGTCGAATGAGTCACTTCAACGCATATCGAAATGCAGCTGAAGATGGCAGGGATTAAGTGAACCCTAAGTGAGCACAATTGGATTAAAAGTTATTTTATTTTTATAGATGATTTTAACAATAGAGCTTTGTTTCAAAAATGTTTGTTCTAGCGTTATCCCTCTATGAGTGCAGACAAGCGACGTAAACATTGTGGCATACCTTTAAGACAGTCGAGAGGTGTTATAAGATTTGCTCATGATAATTAAGCTGTATATATGTTTACGTTCCTCCAAGCCAGCGACACTTTCTTTATTCCTGGCCTCATTCAAACTCTTTTTATACGTGGCCCATATATTGTCATTCTTCGTCGGCGCTGTCTACAATGAAATTCGAAAAAAAGACAACCGGCGCTTTTGTCCTTTCTGTAATAATCATCTTCTTTCTTTGCTTGTTAATTTTGGGCGCGCTATTAGTGAACGCGCAGGGAATAATGTCTACGTCGGAGCCTTTACTCTACCGCATGTGGAGGTCGCGGCAGGGGGTGGCCCTGGTGGAGGAGCCGAACAGCTTGAGCAAATGATCCAGCAAGTAATTTCATCAATGGTGGATATAGGTCGGCAAGCTACGGTTGTGTCACAGGGAGCCTCTCCAGAAGACAATAATGTCAACTACCACATAAATATCGGTATGTATAGATTCTGATAACCTTTCATTGCGCTGACACAGAACGTTCAAACCTCATGTGCTATTCAGCAGAGCTGGACGTCTTTGTTGTAAAGCGTGCGAGTTTCTTCAGTTGATTTAATAGTGAGATTTAGTAAACCAAAAAGTGCGGGTGCCATAAGTGCACGTTACTACACTAAAGTTTGGTAGGTCTCCTTGCAGCGATAGATTGTGATAAAACTACGGACGTCTAAATGTTGAAGCATGTGGTCTCATTGAGCGCCATCTAAATTTCCGTGCTCATTTTTATACTGTTATATTTTCATGTGTCTATGTATCATAATCTATTTTCATTTGGTTTCCTAATCCTTAGCGGAAATAAGCGGTCACCAAGAGGTGCATAGTCGACTTCTCGCCGTTCGTTCCTTGTTGCGGTTAGCGTTTAATGGTGTTAACGTCCTTGAAGGCCGTCCGCCCGAAGAGTATGCCGTGCAAAACCCGCCGCATCATGCGCAGTCGGGAGGCACTCAAAAAAGACAGGCTACTCCCTCTACCTCAACGGCTGCTCCGTCAGCATCTACAGCTTCGACATCTGCAACAGCGGCAGAAGCTCAGGGAACCGCTCCCCATGAGGGGCAGCAGGTAAAGACGGAGGCGGCTGTTGGCGATATCGAAAGTTCTGCTGAGGGCCAGTCGGAGGTTGGATTTCTTTTTTTTTTTTATTTCAAAGTTAATAATAGCTAAATTATTGATAGTTTGTTATATATGGGCTGTACAATTAAAGTTCTGATGCCTCTGAGTGTCATTAAGTGCATTTTCCCTAGAGCGATTAGAGCGATCCCTAGCAAGTTGTCCTACTTAGGTTCTGGATAACATTTCTTCTTTGTCAAACAGCTAAGCTTTTTGAAAATTAATAGAATTAATATATTACAAGGTAGAACATGGACTACATGTTTTATGGAGTTAGATTTTAATACGAACTCCATGTGATCACTCAAGTTCAGGTACGTCTTTATTTTTTTTATAACGTCAGTTTGAGGTGAACATTTTTGCACATTAATTTGCTTATCCTGGATTTATTTATAGAACCGGTCCAGAGGCAGCTCATCGGAGCCGTCACGAGATAGTCAGTCGCAGGCCGAGCGGGATCCGAGGCGCCCGCTTTCATTCCTCCTCCTTCATGAGTTGCATCCGACGAGACAAACTCTAGCACACGTTTACGATGAGTTGGACTATCTCAACGAACGGTTGGCGGTAAGCAACTTTAGAATATGTGTTTGACTGTATTAGGATATAAAAAAATATATTCCTCTCGATCGATCGAAGATCTTTCTAATTTAAAAGTTTGCAACCTGTGAAAAATAAGGTAATTGCAAATAATAACTTCTGCTGATCGATAATGAACCTCTCAAAATATGTGTGGACCCAGTCATTATAAAAAGTAAAACATCGTACCGTTATTTCGGAATTTAGGTGATTAAACTGTTTAGTTGTGATCTCTGTAAGATAAGAGGCAGGCTATAGGGTCGGTGCTTTGTTTTTCATGGTCGAAAAGGCTGTTAAGCAGACAAATTTAGTTTACCCATTCATTGGTATATGCGCAGCTTCTGGCAAATGTGAATCCTGTTGCACCTGACTGCTATATCGTTTACATAGCGAGGGCTTTCTTTTCGACCCCTTTTTTTGCAGCCATTCCTAAATCGTTATCGAGATCTTCTTCGACGGGAGACCTTGACGCCGGATGAAGTTAATTTGGAAGAAGCGCGCCGAGTTTCCTATCGTGTTGCCGAAGTGACTCACGCGATATCTCACGTACAGCATCTGCTTAGTGATCTCGAAATTGATCCACGACACCCTGCCCACCTCGTTGTGCGACCTTCAGGACCAGTACTGCCTGAAGGCCAAGTGTCTAGCCACCACATTGATCATACAGTTCCGATCCGTGCACAGATTAACGTCAACACAGTTGCTTTCCTTTCAAATGGAAACGGAAATCTATCCGCGAGTGGTGAAGCTCAGACCGGTTCCGGTCAGACGTCTGCGGGCCAGGGTTCAGGGATGACTGTGGCCGAAGCCGCAGCTCAAGCAGCCGCGGCGGCGGCAGCGGCAGCAGCTGCTGCTGGTAGGCAGGATGAATCAACTACTGCAAGTCAGCAGGGGGCTACAGGCCAGAGTAATAGCCAAACCGGTGGATCCTCTAATGAAGCGGACAGACCAAGTCGGTCCTTCAACCCAGCTGACTTCGTTCGTAAGTGCTTTCTAAACGTGGATAGGTCCGCCCAGGACAAAGTTTTGAATCTAACATTAAAAACATCAGTTGCTCGTGCGATTTATGCAATGCTTATTACTGCAAGTATGAAAGCCGGAAATTCACACTGCAGTTGCAATGATTTTCGGATAAAGTATACATATATGTGGTATCGCAAGGTTTGGGCTAGTAACATTTCCATACAAGGTCACGTGCCAGAAATATCTAGATATTTTTTATACAATTTTTCAGGACGTGTATCGAACGCAGCTTTTCGTAGTGTTTCGCGGGCTGCAAGCTCCAGTTCTAATACAGCTGGCGCGAGCGCTGGTCAAACTCCATCGCGAGAAGAGACAACGGCCAGCAATACAACTACAGGAACAACACAGACACCGACAACTGCAGGGGTTACGATGGGAGGGACTCGGGCTAGTGGAGGTTCTGCAGGAAGCGGCGGATCAGGCAGCGCTGGAACCGCGTTCACAATACCTACAGCCACTGCGAGTCATACAGGTTTACGGCCAACAGCAGTTGTACGTGAAGTATTTGATCCCTTTCTTGTCTGTGATTCGATCTTCTCGACTGTTGGGCGACGCATCGATCGTCATTTTGAAGGGCGAGTCCGATGGACCATACCACAAAGATCGTCGAGCGTTCCAGCCGCAACAAATCGGCGACAAAGAGATGGCGATATACCAGCTCCACCAAGAGCTCCTAACCAATCCAGTGGACCGCTTCTGGAGACTATTATGCAGAATTTATTCCCTGGCATGGGTGTCTTCCACTCGATGCCGGTGGCAAGTTTCATCAACTGGGAAGTAGGAGGGAACGACGGAGTGCAAAATGAATTTATCAATGATCTGCTAGCGACCATAGTGTCAACACTGACAACGAGCGATTTCATGGAAGTAATTTTACAGCGAAACAATCGAAGTCTTAACGGACTTCGAACACCCCTTAGAGAGTTTCTAAACCGGCGATTGCTTAATGGCGAGCCATTCACACCGCAATTGCTCGAAACAAGACTTGGGGCCTTGATCGATTCGATAGCAAGAGATATACCGGAGGAAACTCGAGAGGCTGATCTGTATCCTGATGTCGACCTGGTGGCCAGCCTTTCCGGTTTCCTAAAAGCCCGTGTTTTTGACCTATTTAAGTTTATCCTGGAGGCAGACGACGAACCTACATTTGGTGATCGTCTTTTCGAACATTTTAGTGAATTTGTGAAGGACACATTGTCGCTTATAGCCATGTGCTGCAGGGACGGCACCGCATCGGTCGAACGAATCATCGTAGCTAGGGCCAGGCAGTTTGAACGTGCAGAGAACGATATGCCCTTGGTGACAGCGTTCGTAACACAGGCTGGTGCACATCGTGAACACCTTCGTATCAATGAAAGCCTGAGGGAATATATTGTTATGAAACCAGCAGAGGAAGGCAGCGGCCGTCGAGCTCCTACTGCAACCGAAGAAGGGGATATGCCAAATCCTGATGAACGAATGGATGTGGACGCATCAACGCACGCGAGCATTGATGCCTCACCAACTAACCAAGCGATAAATGTCAATAATGGAGTTGCTGTGGAGCACGCACAGGTTGGTGAGCAAAGCTTACGTTGTAGTTTTCGTAAGTTGTTTCCAAATTAGAAAATAGACAACATTTGTGTAAAACGAAACTTTTTGCAATTATTGTTTTCAGGTTACTCTAGAATCACCTGTTAGTCACGAGGCAGCTCTCAGCGCTCTACGCGCAGCTGTCCCGGATACACAACCTTCTGCAGGGTCTGAATGGATAAGCGGTGTTCCCCCTGGTTGGGCACCAATTATTGCGAGAGACATGGGCTCCCAAAGTGCTGTACAAAGGCCCCTTAGTGACGCGTATCTGGCAGGAATGCCTTCAAAAAGGCGCCGACTCATGAAGCCAACAAGTCCTAGCCAGCTATCTGACGTCCCTGCATCCATTCAGCAGGTAATCTTTGAGCCAACATTAGTTTGTGTTTTTTGTATTTCCTGGTTGTTTTTCAAATTTGTTTCGTTATTTTTAGCAATACTATAGCGTGCACCAATCTAATAGAAAATAGGGCATTTAATTCTTACATAGTTTGTAATTACCCATGTCTACCTATTACATCGATACCGAGGTAGGTCAGGCGATTTTTACAATGTGCTCTTTCATATTCCTGTTGTTTTTTCAGGCAATTCAGCGTGCAGGCGTCCGGCCGCGAACAAGTGTAGACGCACTCAATGCTGACGTTCAACGGAACACAGTAGCGCTCCAAGATGCTTTACAAAGCAGCATCCGGGATGCGCTCGCAAGACGGCTCACCGAAGAGACGGTTGATTTCGACAAGGACAGATTTCCTCATGCTCACCGAATAACTAAGCCCAAATAAACTACACAATGTCACATGTACCCGTCACCTTTTAATTAGCACAACGCGAAAATTCGAAATCAATGACTTATGTGAACAAATTGCGATAAAACCAGAGGGAAAGCTACAGCTGAAAGAAAAACGTCAACAATATTAGACAACAGATACATCAATACTATGATAGAGCAACTTTTAAAAAAGTGGAAAAACGTGGCACCATAACGCCTCTTCAGGTACTGTCTCCTTTTTTTGGCTTCAAAGTAAAAGGATAATATCTTTGGTGATGATCGAAGCAAAATCATTGCCTGCAGTTGTAAAAGGAAATATATTTCGCCGAATAAATCCCATTTGCGGAACATATGAGTAAAAAATGTTGTCACTATATGCATGTGACTGTATCTTATACCTGCGGGTTCTTACGGCAAATATAGCGTCATTCGGCAAGCCGGATATCGGAGGCGAACTGGAGAGCGAAGTACAGAGAACAGTACGTGAAGCAGTTAATAACCAACATACTTTTGGTTGGAAAGATCATGAAGATGATTAAAATGTGAGTAATAAGAAGTATGAGTGATAGGGTAGAAATAGCCAGTAATAAAGAGAAAGGAGTGGAGTGATAAAACGAAAATGGTAAAACAATATATTACAATATTAATGATCATTATAATATAATATCAAGAAATGTGAAGTAAAAACTATGACCTCGTACATTTATTAAACAGAAGACAAAAAGCTCTTTTTTTTTACGGGACTACTGTATTTTTTAGCTTTGACGATTTATTTAGTGTTTCATAAAATACAAACATGAGATATAAATGTGAATAGGTGTCGTCACCTTCTTCGTAATGAAAAAGAGATACAACGTTCTCGCGTTGTGCATCTAGAGACAGGCATTGTGGTACAAAAAAAATAGTTCGCAAACATTTCTAGCAGCTCTTTTTAACTTTTTTTTTTTTTATCTAATTTCAGTAGTAGTTTTTACGTGAGTGGACCCGAACCGCCTAGGATCTCGAATTGTAGAAGACAAAATTTGGACACGCTTAAAGCAGCCAATGTGCTAATCACGATTGTACCTTAGATCAAGACCAGGCTGCGCTCACATAGCATGAGTAACAGCTCATTTGGATGCCTTCAGTCACTTCTGTATAGATGTGCGGGCTTCTAAATACACGGAAATTGTGCGGTCCTGAGTACCCGCGCACAAGTGTTTGTTCGTCTACGACAGTTCTATGTTCTTCGGTTCCTAAGTAAAATATACCGCAGTGTCTGAGGGCGCTCAGTTTGGTTCTGCAATGCATGCATCTATTGCTAAATGGTGTGATCTTGTGTGTCGATAGAACATCTTTTAAGCATTTACTGGTCCATTTGCTAGCCGCCGTCTTCAGAACGGACGTTGACGACTACTAGAGGGGTCTTTAGTGAGGCCTAATACCTTCTGTCACTGGTGAGCCTGTCCTTTCCCTCTGCGTGAAACTTTCTCTCCGATAGAGTTCCGTTTGTGCCTAATGCTGTGCGATATTACTTTTCTCCACTCTAAAAACCGATCAATACGGTCAGGTTTCGATAGTGTAGTTACTAGCCCTTCCGTTGAATACAGTGAATATATGAAGTATGAAAGACCAAGAGCTGTATCTAACAAGATATCTAAGCCTACAATGTATATCGAGAGCCTCGTCTATTGCGAAGAAGTGCCTATCAGCTCAGTGAGGATCGCAAACACCGTAAACATCTATCACGATTTCGCTGAACTGATGCAGAACTGCCACTTCTTTTGACTGGTACGAATGCGTAGCATCGTCTAATCATTTCTGGCGAGTGACAGTGAAGACCAGAGCTACACCATTCCTAAACACGCTGCCATGGTCACAGTTATGCTGATCGTTGTCCCTATAAAGCCAGTTTTCATATTGACAGCAGCTGTGATGGACCGGTCTAAGAGATAGAGGTTGCCTATGTGGTGAATTCGATACTTCCGTAATTATATTAAAATACAAACTGTGGTAGTGCATATAGGTTAGATGATATCGATCGCTTATTGACCTACAGCGTAATAGATTCTGACATGCAAACTTTAGTAATAGAACGTAAGAGTCTTTTAAAGATCTGTTCTCTGTACCACCTCAAATGTATTACAGTTACGAAATGTAATAAATTGCACTAATGCTGTGAGCAATTCACCTCCAAAGATTTACACTTTAGCAGACTAGCTATCAAGATCTCCAGAAAAATTCTGTAAAAGCGAGGTTCCCAGTCTTAACCATCAGTACCTCCCGTTATATATAATTTGTGATTGGATAATACTATTAAATTGTCAGATGGACCGAATTTTCATAATTGTTTAATCTTGATTGTATCTAAAGTTTCCCTGAATTTTAAATAAGCACCGTATACAAGCTCACCACGGAGAGATTTCAACAATATATAATACATATCCCCGTCATCGCTGATAATGCAAATTACGCACGCTGGAGATAAATCTTAAGCACATTATGAGCAGAGCATGTGGAAATTTACACGACAGTCGAATGTAACTGAGCGATGAACTGACATTGAGAATTAAAATAATATGACTACTAACAGACAGTTTGCCCTTGAGAAAAAATCAATCATGTGAGATACATATATGGAATAAGATAAAGTTATTCAAACGAAGCGTTTATTACAGCGAACTAAGCAAATAAATACAAGGCACAGCATCTATTGCCTATACAATAGTAGCGTAATATGTTAGTTGACTCCAGTTGTTATGTGTGTGTAAAATACATAAGCCTAAGTGTTTGCTAATTTTTTTAAATGTAAAGAAAAGAAGTCTGCGATTTAATAGCTGAGTTATCGTTGTTCCGGAATAAATGAAGTGTGTCATTGCCTGACCGGCAGCAACATTACGTGATGCAACTTTGTGACGTACTACGGTAAAATCCGTTGTGAACTTAAGCATTTTGATATGAACAATCCAGTCAACCATTATGGACCACGTGAGATTATTGAGTTCACATTTAAGAGAAAAACGAAATTAGAAACTAAGAAAATTGCAATGGAATAATTTAGTTTTCTCAATAAGAGTAACTAATATAATTGTTATCCACAGCGGTCAAGTGTTATTTTTGTTTTTCGGTCAGTGAAGCTTCATGTAAAAGTTTAATAGAAATATCATTACTGATCTATCTAACGACAAGCATCACCGTTATGTCTCTGAAAAAATTTTATTGTCTTTAGGTACGTGTACTGTATTTTAGACCTAGCATCTCCTGTTGTACACAATTATTAGGAGGTCCTAGATGTTTCGGTAGACGGTCCTCCAGGTCCTGGAAGTGCAGGTAGGGGTGCCTGAATCGTCAGAATACCGTCCTTGGAAAGGTTTGATGTAATATGCGCTGGGTCGAGACCCCGAGGCAGCAGAAACTCACGGTTGTATTCACGATACACGGACTTGGTATCAGATTTTTCTTCATGCTTTGCGCTTACCTAAGAAGCCGTACAAGAACACGTATCAATGGAAATTTCGGAAGCCAGAGTCCTCTACCTATTTACGGTTGCGAAGAAAACATTTTTATTCGACCCTTCACATTGTTTTAGTGGCCTGCTTACACATAAGAGACCTCTAATTTTTTATTCTTAATATATATATATATATATAGATAATTTATCTATTATTATCTAATGAAATTGAATCATTAACAAGCACCGCAAACTGATCTATAGTGCATCCGTTTGTTAGAAAGATGGAGTTTGCGTTTATTAATTTACGATGAGGAACTCCCCTACATATCTATTTGATGTATGTAGTCTTTACCTGTTTTGCTGGTTTATTTTCTTAATTTGTTTACCTTAAATTTTGGGCGATGAACTTAACATAGACACGTAATGTAAATATTGTAAATTACTGCTTAGTTACTAGTTCTATATATATATTGAGAATATTGGAATAGGTTGCTCATAGTAGCGGCTAATTACCAGACATGCTTTGCACTATTGAGTCGCAATAACAGAGTTAAAAAAAACATGAGATGTTTGCAGGCTAAATATTGCCGTGTCGCAATAAAATCTGTAGAACATTAAACCTGTTCGTTTTAAAAGCCTGCCTTAGAGAATTCGTAGACAAGTAATAATAGCACGGCGCAATAATCAATCTTACATAACACGGTTACTCACGTGTTTTGCTAATAGATCAGTTTACGGGGATATTGACATTTTTAAAACCCCTTAAGCAAATAAAATTAGAACATTCCTAGTCAACTTTGTCAACCTTCTACTTAGAAAAGATCCAATTCCGTATGTAGTAGAATGAAATTTAAATGTTAAGGAGGAAAAAGTTTACGTGTAAATATTTTGTCTGGTGAAACAAGCTGGCTGGGGTGTATATGGTGCTTCTATCGTAGCAGGCTTTAAGGCTTAGTTAAAAACTTGCCTGAAGACCATACGCCCTCGGATTATGGTTTGTATAGCACACTTTATGATGGTGTGGGTCGATGTTTGTGAGGAGCTAGATGAATAAAGAAACAATTGCACAACGTACCTGTAAACGGTGATCAACGGTTTTGACAACGATCTCCTCGGGAGCATATTGTGAAACATCAAATCGAAGTTTGAGCTCCTTGCCGCCATTGGCATTATCTTGGATCAGGGGCGATCCAATTCCGTTTTCAGGAAACAAGGTTGCAGGCTAGAGATGGCATTCAAGGTAAAGAATGCGATCAAGCATTATACAGTTTTGAGTTACTATCTGTACCACTAATATAGAGAAATTATAATCCGAGCTCATAAGCTGATTTAGTGATCATGTCCTGGATCGCCGTTCGTAACAACGGGCGACTATAGCGAAACGATCTGCATACGGCTGCTTTTAAACCAAAAAGGCAACACATCAGTGTTGTTTTTAATAAGCAGCAGTTACCCGTGTCGTAAGCTGAATGAAACTTTCGTGCAAACTAGTATCATGGCTTTGGTGCGTGTGTAAAAAATAAGCAGTGTCTTATATATTATAATAATAATATTATATATATATTATAATAATATATATTAAATAAATATATATATATTGTACATAATAGCTTCGGCCACTGAAAGCAGAATAATATATAATAGGCAGTTGGTGAATTCCCTATTGCCACGAGTGCGGACCTCGTGCGCGATTATTGCAGCGAGCAAACCCATATACAAAAATATTATATATGGTTAATTTCGTAGTGGCGACAAACAAATGTTTTTGGGTAAAATATCCATATATATGAGTAAACGTCACAAGAATTGGTAAAAAATAGAAGCGATCTTAACACATGACGCGAACACAAATACACACACAAACTTCCCAAAAAGAAACAAAGTTCTTCTCACATACATTCTGTGATTTAGTAGTCAGTTTAAGAATGGCAATAGATACACTCTGAATGGTAGCAAAATAAAAGTCATTGGGGGGTGGAAAAGGTAAGAAGCCAACCATGTCAAAACATTCTGATGATAGGACTTTTCTTGCTTGGTAATAACCCGTGTTCGTTTCGGTAGACGATAGCTGGTTTAATTTAGGGTTGTGGCCTCCAGTATACTTGCACCCATTAGTCGCATAGGTGGCAAGATACGCCTCGGAAATTCTCGATTTTATTCTGCTTTGTCATCTCGGGGTGTTGCAGTTTTGATACGATCACTTACTCAATATTTTGGGTATCAATCTAAGGAATTTACCATACTTACAATGCCTGGGACGATGGAATTTATGAATATATTCCTTTCATGGTCAAGCACCATCGAGCGAAAACGGGCCATTTCGTCTTCCATCTTACGCATCTCCGACTCGAATCGTTCGCGAATTGACGAAAATTCATTATCGAGTATTGACATCTCGTTTTTTTCGATAGGTACTTGACGCTCAGACATCTGCGAAGTGACAAAGGACAAGATCATGCATTTGTAAAAAAATGCTTCAAGCATAGAAACTACGCTCTCCAAATGTATGCGTCAGAAAAATGTTACGCTTTACTGATAAATCCGCAGGTATGAAGGCGTGTATTGGGGTTACTTGAAATCTTCAGACGTCCTAGCTGTGCAATTCCGAAGTACTATCCATTAATAGCAGAAAAAAGCAGACAATACTGATGGTTATTTTTGTGTTAGAAATCTTAAAAAAATTTGGAGATTTTTATAATTTTAGTCAACACAAGTTAGGTTATGCAACAAACAACCTTACTAAAAAACATTCAAACATACAGATCAGTTTCATAGAGTCATACAACTCAACCGAAAATTCAATACTATAGATACATACTATACATGCTTTTTAAGCAAATGGTTTGAAAAAAATATTAGTTTGCCTATAATTTTTACGAGTGCTGAAAGTGATCGATCAACTTGGCAGCAGATGCACCCATATCTTATTACGGTACGATTGGCACGAATCAAACTATAACAGCTATATCCACTAAACATGTCGAACACATGAAAGCTAATAGGCTATAGCAATGAGCAGTGGCCTCCTTGAGATACGTCGTTCGAAGCTTTTAGGCATATGTCATAATGGTGCCATTTTCTTCGCAGTTTTTTGGTCGCTCATTTCTATAATTGCGAATTAAACGACATTTGCAAGAAATACGATTTGGTGAAACTTTGACAGTGATCTTTCTCGTATAAATACGCACCAGAACGTCTCATAGACTAATGTGTTGTTTGTTCGAAGAAAGCGCACGAGCCGTGCTTGAAGCTCATAGAACACATGGAAGACGTCCAGCATTCTACATATATACTTACAGGAAATAAACACCAACAGTTCTCTGCACGCTATTACTAACCACTGGCATAAACACGTGCCGAATTAATACCGCAAAAAGGCAGTTCTGCCTCTTCAGAAATGAATTCAGCCTGCAGGTCGGTTCTCAGCATCAGGTATCTAGTCAGTGAATCGTATATCATGAGGGACTGAGTGACATTATCGTCCGAAGCCAGGCGAGAAGTCATACGCAGTAGTGCATTGCAGTCACAAACAGCCATATATTCAAATAGGCAGGCATCGAAAACAAACGTGTGAACGGGTCAATCTGGGTGAACGACGTCAATGACAATCACAGATGCGCAAAGCTGGCGTCGTTCGTTAGCCTAATATCATAGTGCGAACTTTGCCGTCGTACTGCTCGGGCTAAAACGTACCTGCAGAAGTAGATTAGGCCTATTCATAGATTATTCGACTTTTTAGATCGACTCGAGTTGCAGTTAAATTCGCTAAGTACACTCGCACACACATTGCTTTTTATGATAGATATGCCTAGGAAAAGAACAAGTAGTACTTCAAATGCTACTTTAAATTTACTGGACTATTCTATGCATTTAGTGCGCCACTCACACCATACATTTATGACATCGAAGTAATAAGTCTCTGGCATGGCAAGTGACCCATCTTCTGGAAATACGCGTTACTTAGATATTATGGCTTGTCCTTGAGCAGAATCGTGAGTAAATTACTAACTGATTGATATTACTGAACCAGTCGGAAACGCCAGAAAACGAAGGCCAATAAAGCGATATTCGAACTTCTATAGGTAATGTTACCGTAGTGGAGTGAGCAGTCGTCTAGGGTTTGCCCGTACGGCATTCTAAGTTTACTGACAAAAATCTATTGCCCAAAGTGCAATCAATCAATCAGGACATAGCATGTCATGTAGGTACGGTCATTGACCTACTAAGTGGGATCGATCCATTCACCAGGTTCAATAGGTTTGTGGAAATAGTATTGTTTCATGCAAACGTACTTCACCGTACAAACTTGTTTCACAATGTTTTGCCCGAATAGAAAAAAATAGTGCCTCGGTGTCAAAAATCCATTTTTTTTTTCGTTTTTTTTTAAGAAAGTCGAAGGGAATTGAAAAATAATCGAAACATTGATTTAGAAAAAAACTAATAGCTTAGGCCGCCAGATAAGAGATCTGAGCTGAATAAATATAATAGGCAATCGAGCCAAAAATAGAGCGAGATAGGGCGAGAGGCGGTTTGCTTCAAGAGCTTTAACGCATACACTACAGCTGGCACGAACAAGCCTTGTCATTCGTTGTAGTAAATATTGTAAAATGTTTAACGTATTTACATGATCATGTCTATTACCACTCCACGCTTCAATGATGAGTATTCATTTTGTATGTCAACCACATATGCAAAGACGTTTCTAAAGGACTCTAGCGTAAAGCATGTAGCGCAATCGCAATACTTACGAGATTAACACAGGTAATTGCGTGCCTAATTTAAACCCGTTAAAAGATTATCCCCACGATCAAAGACATGACTACGTTATTTCATCACAACCTTCATTCGTAACGCAAAGTCAATGTAGTCGATTTGCGTACAAAGCAGGCAGAAAAGACACTCTTAGCTTGACCTTGCATCTGAGCCAAATAATAATTCCAAATCGAGAAAAGGACTTGTGGGAATTGTGCGACGTAGAGATCATCATAAGAACATCAACGATGCGCCAGCGGAGGATTTCGTTCTATATCTCAACATTGGGCTTCCGTTCAAACAAGTCTATCTCGTTTAGATTGCGATCTGAATGTACTGTAACGGTCTGCATCTTATACTTAGTCCACCCCAAGTTATTATCTTGGTTAAAAAAAGGAGCGAACTGCGAATGCGACAAGAGTAATATATGTATATATATATATGTGACAGGAGAGCTGAGTGATCGGGGTCAAGCTTAGCATTGCCACCGGCTGATATTAAAGAAAGACTCACTAAGCAGTTTCAGGTGCTAATGTTGCGCAGTATTCTATAGTATACTCTGAAAATACATTTTGCGTGTCGCAGAGATGCCTCTTTTTGTGAATGTATTTTCACTCATTAAGGGCGTTCTCGCTTTATTATCCTATAATAATTAATTTATAATAAAACTTATCCTCAGGATAGGTTATTACAGTTAGCACAAAGTGCCTTATCAGAGAAGGTTTCCTTCGACTACAAATTAAATCGCTATCCTCCTTATAACTTGCACCCCAAGAACGATCACCCACCGAGTGTATTTGATCGTGATTGGCGCCCAATAAAAATGACAGAACGAAGACAGAGCCCTGAATGCCTACATGCCTATTTCAGTTTGCTACCACCGAGTACAGTTGTGCTGTAAAACTGCTTACTTCCAATACAAATGGCATCTCATTGCTGTGACTAATCATTTCAGGTATTTCGCATGGAACTGTTGCTGTTGCATCAGAGATTACACCTGTAAGCCGCCACTAGGTCGCAGGGCTGCTGCAGACGTCGTAGGCTTTATCGTCGCTACTGGAAAATGCCACGGCAAGGCCGAGGTTAATGTACAAACAAGAGCAGCTGATGCTCCCGCCGATGCTGCTGACAGCGTGAAGCTAGGTAGGCAAACAGGCGAACTCAAGCAAAATTATCATGGGGCTCACCAGCTGACGTTGATAACGTCATCAGAAAACCTTCGTTCGACAAAGCATTTCGGTAAGATATGTTCACCGCATTCTGTAGCAGGCCACTGTAACGCAGTTCATGTGTGAAATAGAAAAAATGCCAAATGAGAATGGTACAAAATAGAATGAAGAACCGAAATGCGCAGCTAATTTGTAAAGCACCATATATTTTTTCAAAGCAGCAAGCAGAAGGGAACCCTTCCTGCAGTGTCTCAGTGCACTATGGTTCGCAGATGCGCAGAGCAACGGACGACAGAATAGAAAAGAAAACAAACGATGACCAGACCATTTCCAATTTATTCTGCTCAGCAGCGGTACGCATTCTGGTGGTGCGATGTGTGTCCTTAACGAACACAAAAGTTATCGATCGTGACAAATGATCGATGCTATCGTCAGAGGTAGCTGAGCATGATGGTCGCCGACGAAGGACCAGGACTCAGACGGGGAGAGATGTTGATGACGAAACTCATCGAGACGAACCTTTTCTCGAAAGTCTTATTAAAAGCTCAGCACGCGATGCATAGGTTTCGTCTTTCGTTACTATTAGTTTATCTTTAGGGAAGAATGTAACATAGCTACTGAATGACAAGGAGTCAAGCTATAGTTGACCACCCATATTTTACGGATATAGTTCTAGCGGATTATTAGGCTTAGGTCACTTATTGGTTATGAAGTTTCGAATAGGTTTATCTCCAAAGTTACCCAACTACACCTTTAATATTAGAGGTAGACCTGTATTTATGCGACGAAAGCCAATAGCTGAACCCGTTCTATGTGATAATATCTTACGTAACTTCCTTGTTATAACCTTATGTAAAGTTCCGAAAGAGCATATCTTTTGTGGAAGCCACTCATTCTTAAAAACAAGCTTGTGCTTGCTTACTCGAAGAAGCTCGAACTCTGGTGATATTTTCGTGCTTTTTCACCCCTAGCGCTTGTATGTATGATTGCTGTTATCAACCTGCATTATTATATTGAACTTCTGACCTTGGCTTTTACAGCTTCGTCGGACAGGTCTTCTACGCCAGATGGCAAGAGGTAGTAGTTCTAAGGGTATGTCAAACGCCTCTCTAAATAACAATAGTTAATAGTGGCACAATGCCCATAGATTGTTGAAAGACATTGGCGAACAGACAACTACGTAATGAGACAATAATTTTTATGTGTCGTGAATGTCTTGCTTTTAAATTTGCTCAGCATGCAGATGAAAATGGTGGCATTATACTTCTGAAAGGATTCCTGCCTGATATACTATGTCGCCTAATCTAATGCGAATGAAAACGTATTAAACGTCAAAATAATTGATATATTAATGCTTATCAAAAGTGAAAAAAAAAAAAAGAATTGACGCAATTGCAAAACAAATAATAGTGTTCAATCCACTTAAGACTGAATGTCTAACCCACTGAGACACTTAATTTTTTTTGTTATCTTTACTTCCAGAGCGCGATCCTCTAGCCCTGAGAGTGGACAGATGATATAGGAATGAACTGACCATTATCGTAAGGAACAGTTAGTTAAGTTAGATAAGCTATCTACAACAGTAGGATTCGTTTAAAAAAATGATAGCCACTTTTTCTCCTCGCTCTCCTAATTTTGCAAATTTCACGGGGACAGTCGGTCTGATTTTTTTGAAAGAAGATTGTTCAGATCGATGGTGATGATGATGATGATAGGGTGGCATTGCAAATTCGCCCATATCTTCTTTACCTTGCATACTCCTTTTCGGAACAAAAACTCAACCCAACGGAATGGCCATGTTGGGCAAAAAATGGTACACTACACCCTCCGTGTTCTGAGTTTTACGTCCGACACCGCCGTTCGACAGGCTCCTAGCGTGAAACCACGTGTGCCTCGAACCTCGAGCATAACGTATCCCTACATACTACACTACATTCAGCTATCGGATACAATGAGTAGACCGTATTCATTTGTGTTGGATAAGGTACGATTCGGTGATGCGGTGTCATCGTAAATCATTTTAAACGTAATATTAACACCAACTACAACAAGAAACACACTCACATGAATTGACGCGTTTTTGTAACAAACCACACGCGAAAAACAACGATGATATCATAAGGCATACAGGTGAAACTAGTCACTAAACTATTACCCTATAGTAGTAAATGTTTGAAAATGTGGTTTCACATAAACAAGTAACGCTTACCGCTGTGAGGTCGAGTTCCAATTATACAAACACCTCAATCACTTTGACAGGGCGAAAGGTGAATTAACGTCTGTTCCCCCTACAGCGTTTTGTAACGGTAGCTGTTCATGGTTCTTGACTGATACGTTGATGGAAGGACTTCCAATGATACGATGCCAATCACTCGAATCAGGGAAAATTGCGCTCTTTTTGGTCTAGGTCCAAATACGAGTTGGTGCAAAGGGGAACTCAGTACCTTGTGCCTTAATTGTCCATTGAATAATCACTGCTCATATCATGTCAATTTTACCAAGGAAATATCATGCTGCAGACGCATAACGTGATGATTTCTGATCATCGGCATTTGTCAATGATCGATTTTACCACATTGACAATTGCAATTGACAAGGTGTTGAAGGGTGCAATCAATCGTGTGATACCAAGACAATACGCATGGATAGTTTGGCATTCGCTCAAAGAAGTATCAGTGAATTGTAATTCTGGCCTTTTGGAAGATAGAGCTCCACTGTGGTCTGTCGCTGTAGAGCTCTATCTGTGGAGAAAGGTATCAAACGATCATATGAATTCATTGATCGTCATCGTAAATCGCACAAACCTGTTTCTTACGTCTAGAGCGCTTCCTAAAAAAATATTGAAAGTCTTCTAATTGATTATTATTTTGTCAATATTATTAAGTTTATGTTCTTGAAGTTTTTCTTACCTGACAGTAGTTGAATTTTCGGAGATATACGCAATCCACCAGTGATACCCATAAACTTACAACGAAAAAAATCATCGTAGTCTACCTACGCTCATTTTTCAATTCACTTGAGAAAAATAGTCGAGTACCTTATGAAGACCCGCCTTCGGCACACACTGTGCAATCTAGCAGAATGAAGCAGATTATCAATCCATGTAGTTAAAAGTAAAACCACAAGACTGTAACAGGGTGTGCAAGACAAGTGCTGCGAACCGGATCCAGTATGAAATTAATACGCCTGCCTATGCCGTTTATTCCAATATTTTTTTTTGTAAATCGCTTACCTTGCCAACTTGCGCAGTCGTTCCTATACTTGTTTATGATTTCCCTGGCTGATTCTGTAAGGCCTGTGTTGACGGCTATCCAGACACTTTCCAATCTCAATATACGTTCGTTTATATTTCCGCTGTTCGCGCACTATACTTCTTTGATTTCTTACGAGTCGATGCAGTAAAGTCGCAATGGCTTGCGCGTGTTGTGGGCCTGCCTGCCTGCCTGTGCAGACGTGTTAGACTGTTGCCTGGCACCAGTCAGATCCTGTGCCAAGATAGAACCTCGCACTCACACCTTTTTAACAGCTCCGCTCACCGCCAGATAGGCAAGGAGGCAAGACACATACTCTAGGGTGAAGCGAAAATTACCTACAAGGCTTTCATGTGCTTCGAGATAATGGGCAATAATTTTAACAGAAAAGGTACAAATTGTGTAACTTCCACTTCGTCAGAGTATAGCTGTCTAACTAACCTCGTTCTTGAAAGTCTGACTTAGCAGTATCTTAGAGTTGAGAAAATTTCGTTGAAAATCATATATTATTACCATTAATAACAGGGCGTGTTTTTGTCATTAGAGATTATTATACTTTAGGCTGATGCAGATGATAGGCTGATTGATCGTATTGATATTACGTGTAAACCGGCTAACTATGATTGATCCGCTGTTTCAGTAAATGCAAACCAAAACGACCAACTATTTTGGCTCGGTAGTTTTTATCGAATCGATCACAGGAAGTGAAAACTAGTACGAGTTAAAACGGTATAAAGGTATTTCTTTAAAGAAAATAGGAGCTTCGTACTGTGTATTTATTGAAACATGTAATTTGCAAATGAAAATATGACTTCTCGTAATATATTAGGTATAATAGACTGATACTGTATGCCGCGATGTATTGTATCATGATGATGTATCAAAGGAGTTCTGAAAAGCAAAGGGTAGCACCATGACGAATCAGAAGTTTTGCTAAACATCCCTTAAAAGTACTCTCCGAACGTTCGTTTTGGGCCACCCTGCCACTTGAGTGCTCAGTAACTTGAGCACGACGATATACAATAAATTAATTACTGTATTTTGATGATACATATATGCATGACGGCAGCGCCTTCCTGAAATTCGACTATGACGACAACACAGATTCCATGAAGTTATACGTAGAAGTAGCTTGGTTCACTGAAACCGAAACCAACAAATCACCGCTCCGTTACGTACAAGATTTATGCGTGAGGTCGTAAAATGATTTCTCTGATAGGTAGGGAAGCGACGGTGATGCTAAAGCTTCTAAACTTTACCGATGCTAATAAATTACAAGGGGTTGCAACTAATCGAAGAAACTTTCCTAATTAAATAATGATATCTGGCTAGATGTGTCACCTTTCTATTTCAAAGAATATTGAAATGATAATCAAGCTTGAGGATGTGTCGAAAATGAGCAGGTAAACGTTAAATTGAGCGCCGTAAATAAATATTAGTAAGCAGCAATATTGTGATTGATCATTTTGTGCAATATGTATGCGATTACATATTATGTGAGCATTACATATTACGAACAAGGTGCCTAGACGACTCGAGGTTTCAACGCAAAAATACCATGTTTAACAAACGCTGAAAAAATCTGTGCCCGATTAATATATGAAGTTATATATAGACCTATGTTTTGTCGAGTCTCAGGATGGAGAGCTCGCTCAAGCTTAATGTTGTGAAACGCTTTAAAAAATCTACCATGCTTGATAGGGTTCTCTGAAATGTTTTTACTATTTACGGTGATCGGCGTCTTGTAAGTGCCCTACAACGCTGCAAAAAAAAAAGTGAAATTCAGCAAGAAATAGCCAAAGAAGCTGTGCTTCTGACTCAATCTGGGAACGAAGATCTTTCTTTGCAAAAAATAGTGTCATGAAAACGCTTTCGGGAGAAGTTTTCGTTTGTTGAAGTACGCGCGATTAGTCAATTAAAGCCTTCTTCTTCGTAAAAGTGAAGCAGACAAAACCGGGTTAACATTATTTTTGACTTACCATTTATCTCGGGCGAGTTCCTTAGGAACCACCACATCACCCAGGGTTTTCCGCCTTACCGAAAACTTTTTCGTCATTTCAACGCTCAGACATGTGTCACAGAAAAGAACGTCATCGATGCTGTAACTAATAACAATGAAATATATTTGAATATGCTATTTTTAATTTTCCAAAATCGAGCGGCATGCATGTACTAGTCACAGTTCACGACCGCCATAGCCAGCTCTACTGCTCTCACTGCAGTATTTCTCATAACTTCGAATCATTTCAATGATAATTGAAAGCTATATTATATTTTGTCCGTGGTTACTTACTCCAAATAGCGGACGTTTGATTGTAGCGGCTTGTAGCATTTTGAACATCGAATGCAGTTACGATGCCACATTCGCCCAAGACACCTTTGCTGTTCATCAGGATGCACCGTCTTATTGCAGCCACCGCAGAAGTGATGGGTTCTCACCCCAATAACCCCACCCGTCCGCAGCTATAGAGTGGAACCACACTGTCATGGCTGCTGTTGACAGTTTATAGATAGCGGCTATATTAACTAACGAAACTTGAGCAAACTAAGATAACTCGTGGCCGTATCTAAATGACACTATCAGACGTTAGACGCGCGTTACAGATTAAACGTTAACTGTATCAAATGCTACGTCTTATGCAATACAATAAACCACAAAAGGAAAACAAAAGCGGTATTTCGATAAAAAGGACTAGATTTTCATGCTATTTAGCTGCGCTCTTCTACCATAGACATGAAATAAGTACATCTTTTTTTTTCTTTTAGGTTTTTTTTAAGGTTTCACAAAGCCTGAAAGCGTCGGTACTATTTTCGAAATAGACTGTCTAGCGTTGACTGTTAAGAAATACAACGGTTTCGGAACGACAGGTACCGGGCATCGGTTTGAGTTGTTTGCTAAATGGCTACGAAAACATTGCGGAAATAAGACAGTGTGTCTTAATACTAAATTTTAAATAAAAGTTAAATTGTTTTATTGGACATTTATTTAGACTTGCTATACCTTTAATACACTTTTTTTACGGAGACACTTAGAAACCAATATATCAAGTAGATACCTTTTTTCTGTGATTTTTTTATTCCAACTGTTGTGGATATTTTTAAAAGATCTGTATGTTTTTAGAAAGAAAAAAAAAAGTCGGTATCTTCCATATCATATTTGAAGCCCGAGTAAAGCTTACCCCAGCATGATTGATTTTGGCTGCGATCTCTCGGACGCTGCAAAAGAAACTCCCAAGTATTAATAGTCAAGTAGGCCAAGTAGTTCCATGTCTAGTGATTGCGTTGCCTGATAAAAGTTGAGGTAAATCGTTTCATGTTCAAACGCTGTCCTTAATTTAGCCTTTCTAGCCATTTAGCCTAAAAAGATAACCATTGTTTTATCTGTCTTATGGTCAGCCTTTGATGTCTTGAGCAGAACAAGTTATCTATCTTTTGGATGATATTATATAATGTGATCATCAAGTGATACGATAAAGGACGATGTAGCTGTGAATAGCAACTAATGGTTGGTTTAATGAGTAAAAGTGATAAACTTGCCTTGGTTTTTCACCTTTAAGTCGCTCTAGAGGGGCCCGTTCGAGAGCGCTGGAAAATCGTCTCCTAGAATAATTGTGACACGCTTGGCGTTAGCTCATTGGATAAAACAACTAATACTAACTTTCCTTCACTCTGCAATAAGCTAAAATAATATCATAATACTAGAAAAGCTAAAATACTCTAGGGCCCTATTTTCTACGAAGGGGTTCGTTAATTTATCTTTAGCGTGCCTTAGCTAATGGTCCTGCTGTGTACACATTCCTACCCGAATGGGAGATCTCTGTGACCGAAAACAATCGCCAAGGGCTGTAAGAAATGCTGGTTGTTTTCTCAAAGGACCAATTTAAACTTTGCCAAAGCATCGTCACCGCCGTCGTTGTCGTTGTACAACTTATGAATAAAACGTGTGATCGTATTAAGACGTAAAAGCTGCCGCCGTCGTAAGTAGAGTGAACTACGTAGACTAACATGGATAAAAACATTAAATACGTGGCATACGTGTTTTCCACGCAGACGTTTGTATAACTGGTCACGGTTTCAAATATTGATTTTTCTATCAGTGATAATAGAATGTTTTAAACGAGATCAAGTATTATAGATTATTCAAATTATGTAATTGGTAGACATAAAATATAGACGCAAGATACGATATTCAGGGTCTTCGGCATTTTACTTACTATTAAGCAAATGGAACCCGATGCCTGCTATTTGTACTATTTGAAGTAAAACATAAGATCTATTTTCTACCGAGTTTTTCTAGTTAACCTCCCAACTTGGCCAATTACTGAATGGCCATGTTGTAACGCTCATCGTAGATTTCTAAATAGCATAAGCTTGCGTGATTTCAAGCACGTATCTCAAAATGGTAACATATTAACCTGGTTGGCTTAGGTTGGGTTATACCAACGCTCGTATCGACGTCCTGATTCCGTATCGGTTTCCAGGCAGAACCATCATCGTATCGTGTTCCAAATGATCGCTTGGGAGAATCTTCACAAGAGGTCGACCTAGAACGTGCATCTAAACGCGGGCCACAAACAAAGCCTGACTGCGAGATGGGCTGCGAATAGTTTGTGCAGTCAGAAGGGAAAACGCCAGCTGAAGTGTCGTTGGCGTCGGAGGAGGAGTTTCGTATGTCGGCGTTATCAAGTGAGCTACTTGTCTCCCATAGGCCAGTTAGTGTGTGGTCGGCGTTCCTACGTATGCCAAAGTTAGATGTTCACAATTAACTGTTCGGAAAGCTGGATGAACAGAAAATCTTTTTCGGCCAACCAAGAACGAAGGCCATTACCCAACTATTGTTACAGTAATGGTACTATTATTTACTTGTAATATGTACACCACTTCTACATGATTTGTTTGCGACTATTTGTATATATACGAGCTCATATAAATAAATGGAATTATATAGCATACAATAAAAATGAAATATAATCTTTACTGATTTGTAATTAATTGCATGCTAATTTCTCTGCTACGCCTTTACTATGTTTTAGTATTTTAAGAGGTTTATATTTTTGAGATAAATAGATTTTCAAAAACATATCTAGCAACATAGAGCGTAATTCCAATTAAAACCGTAACAAAACACAACTACAGGTGATAGATAAATTAGAAGCATTCCTGCTTGATATAAGGAGGCCTAACGGAAATAAAAGAAATAGAAATTTATCTTTAAAAATATCGTATCACTATTGGCTACTTCATTCAATGGTCGTCAACTTAAACGAACAAAGATACGTACACATTTGACTTCGCGCAACGTTGTTTGTCTCCCTCTATGGGTCCGAATTCGGGGGACTTGATCCCCGATGGTCCGGGCGACAATAACAACACGTTCTGGCTGAAAGACGAAAAAGAAGCATCATCCAATATTTATAGCGATAATGTTCTGTGTTTTGAAATGTATGAACATGTCATAAAAGTGCAATCTCAATATTCGGTCTTAATGGGTGTACACGACATCTGCCTGCATCAGAATCAGAGTATAGTTTAGAATCTATTGTCTAATGTTTGAGCACTGTTTGCTTTGGTAGTGCGCATGTGTGTTCGCAAGAACTTCTTACAAAATGTCCAGTACGGAGTCTTCTATGCTTTTGTCAAGCGACTCCGCAGCTCGCGCTTTTTTCGACGCGAAGCGGTTCACCGCTGACTCCACACGGTAGCATGCGTCACAGTAAAGAGCACGATCGACGCTGGAAACAACGAACAAGACGAGCTTCTTTATTATGAAGTCAGTCTTTTTGATCATAATCGATCTGTCAAAGTTTGATATTTATGCTAACCTTATTCAGTTACTCAGTCAGGTTTGGGGAAGAAAACTCACTCGTTATAACTGGACTGTGACAAGCGATTCCCGCAATTAGAGCACTGGAGACAACTTCGATGCCACGCCTGGCTGAGGCATAAGACCTGTTCGGGGGCGTAAACCAGGCGTCCACAGCCTCCGCATTTTCGCGCACCTGATGAACCTGCAGCTATGTCATCCCCAATGAGAGAGATAGTTAGTTTTATTATGAGAGAATCGTTGTTGTTCGCTATATTTTAGATAAAGTCATCACATACGAATCCTTTTCTCACCTGAACAGTTGAAGCTCTATATAACCTTTTAAAAAAACAACATGGAACTGCATTTCAATGGCCTTACTTAAAGAACTTTGAAAAGTATAAATGTGAGAGTACATTCGAGACTGCTAAGTTCATCATAATTTTAATGCGTTTCAAGCCTCAGTTTATTGCGAGCTGTAGTAATAAAGAATATCAAGTATTTACAGTACAGCAGACGCTAAACGTAGCAGTATGTGCATACACAGACACACTAGACTATCTCAGTGACTAGCCAACGAAGTTGAGTTCAGGAAGAATCATACGTACCCCTGTAAAAGTTATCCCAAAACTCAAAATGCTTCGAAAAAGATGAATCAACGGGGCTGCTCATGATGGCCAAGAACGTTTGCGATTGCCAATAAAAATTTCAATTTGTTTGAACAAAAGCGAGAGACGCGTCCCCTTGATGACGCTTTAAAACCGTTTACCTTAAGAAACAAATCTGTGATTATGATGTAAATCCTTGTTTAATTTGTAGCACCGATAGGATCAATTTTGCCTTATCAGCGCCAAACAGGCCGTTGCTCGTCTGCACATAGACGTTTCGTAACAGTAATGTAGCTTACGCGACTGCGCAAACGACGCACATCAGTCACTTGATATCAGGTCTGCCAAGCAAGTGACCTGCAGTACAGGCCGCGTAAGCCTGCAAGTCACAACTAATGACTCACAGTATTCAACAGAACTAACCAAGCAAAAATAAATTACCTTTCAAAGACAAAGAAAATTAAGTTTTTTTTTTCATGGAAAAATTCTACTAGGCTGAAAGGGGCATTGTTGGCATAATTGGCTTTCTTTCAGTTTGCCTTGCTGCTATTTGCGACTCCGTCGACGCAGTCTACCGTAGGGGCACAAATATTATTCATAGTGATTTAGTCAGAAAACAATTAATTGCATTGCAGAGCAGTACAAGTCTAAGACGTGTCAACACATGAAATAAATCTTCACGCTCAACTCTTCAGTTACTACTCTTCTCAGTAAGGCACTTCATTTGCTATAGAAGCTCTATTGAGAGCGCTGTTCAATGACAGCTTGTTTACTCTAGATTTAGTCAGATCTAAAATTACTATTTCTGGCACCACGAGACATAACGATACGACGCGTTGTGCGTAGCCTGCTAGGAAGATCTACCTCGATTATGAAACAAGGTGATGCGAATAGAAAAAAAAAAAAAAAAAAAACAATAAAATATAATCATTCAATTGCATGTGCGCAAGTAGAGTGCTAATTAAAAGCAGATGAATGATGCTTATTAAAGGAATACCGAAAATTTATCTACCGTAATAGATAAAACGTGCGCCAACCATTCAGCTCTATCACGATGAAATAATTTCTATGGTAGTCATTGATTCATTTACTTTTAGACGGAACACTTATGGAACGCCTTTTTTATGATGGTACCATTTATAAGAGTGACAGGTTATATACTATTATTACAACTAAAACCGGTATGACCATGACAAGAATTAGGAATTTTTTACATTCGTTCAATAATAAAAAAAAGTGTTTAGCGATCCATATCCATGAGGTGTCCATAGCGTTTAGAGATTTGACGCAAATCAATTTGGTGGCGATATTGTTGTCCAGACGTCGTACTGCCACCACGTACGAGCGCACGTCTTTAAAACAGGCATGTGTATACAAGTGGACGTGCAAAACAAGACGCTTCACGCAGACGCTCGTGTTCAGCTTTCCGATCCGTCGATTCCTGTCATTATAATCGCGCACTGCAATCTCATCACTACTGTGTCTCGTAGTGAAGCTGCCAGTCAACGAGTGTTAAACCTCTTTGTCGTTTTAGTCTTTGTGTCGAGATGGCCATGACGTCGGATTCCCTGCAACAAGGTGACAAAGTGATTATTCAAACTCGCTCAGGCAGAACCTTCGAAGGTACCTTCAAGACATTGACTCCAAGGCAAACTCTCGTCCTCTCCAAAGGTGGGCGCCTTTGCGTACCTTTTTTTTTTTCTTTATAGAAATGATTATCAACTGTCGACAGTTTCCGGCATGAATAATAGTCCCACGTGTGGAAATGGCTCTGTCCATGAGTTTCAATAACGGTCCGCCATGACACTGCCATCTAAAGATACGATCTTGTTGACTATACTTGAATTTTCAAAGGTCACCTGAGGCAATACTCGTGCGGCATGCGCAAAAGCTAGTGACACGTCAGGCTTTGGCCACGCCTAAAGGCGTTTCTTTGCCCAGTCATTTGATAAACAATAACACACTACAGTTCCTTAGTAGGCATGCTACGGGTTTTAGATGTATATGTCTTTTACGAGTATATCCTCACTGTTCATGCAACATAAATGAAAGACAACTGTTGGATTTGCTACATGCGTTAGAATCGACTGGCGTGGTAGTCTTTAGTCCAGCGAGCGGCCCCGTAAGAAACGTATTTAGCAACGTACTGCGTAGGCCATCGTATGTTTCCAGTATCTGACACTTTTTTCTCCATCCAAATGTGAACTATTAGCCCTTATGAACCTACCATTTTAGCCCTGAAGGGACTTCTATCAGTGTTATACTACTGGTACATTATGAACATTTTACATTGCAACAGGTCATGAACTTTATGTTGCTCAGACACGAAATAAATATACACAATATGTAGCGCGGCACATGTTAACTTTATGTGATCCTGTCGAAGCGTATTATATTTGGCACGTACGTTCTTCAGCCAACGTGTACTGCTTTTGAATTAGTGTTTTTTTTTTTACAATAGATAAGTATTAATGCATATGAATAACTACGCAAGTTAAGTATCAAGTGGACGTTAGCGTTGAATGCTACTGCGACGTCCTACAGGTCCCATTGTTTTGGTAGAACCCTCAAATTGGCGTTACAGCGAGTTACAGCGTTACAAGGGAAAGCTCCTTCTCGTTGTTTATTCCACGGGAAAGATACACGTGCATTTTTCGACGACTGTTTCACCTATCAGTTTATCTATATACGTTGCTTTTTCGTTATATTTTACCTTTCAAAATGGCCCCACCGGCCGAGTGTATCGCGCCATGTGTTCGCTCAAGGTAATTTCTGTCCAATAGTTTGTCACAATGAGCAATGTTCAGAGAAGACTTCTTAGTCATTTTAAATGGAACAGTTGAATTTATTATGCATTGTCTGGGGCTTGAATTATGTATCTACAGATCCCAAATCAAAATCCCTATGGCCCGTCTAACTACCTTTTCAGCCATAACTCAATTATAGTTGAATATCCTAATTAGATGCGCTTATCATCATGTGATTAATTGGACATTTTGGATTTCAGCTCGTAGCAACAATGGAGAATCTTACGGCGAAACTGAGCTACAGTTGAAACAGATTCGCTCAATTTACGTAATTGAGGGTGAGTTTACATGAACTATATCTGAAGAAATACTAGATTACTTAAAGCTGAACTCGCCGATATAAATCGTATCGCTTTCTTATTCTTGTGATTAGTGAAGAACTTTGCTTTGGAATATTTGGTAAGCAGTCTCTGCTAGGTAGTGAAGTGCCGCCGCAAAAAGAAGAAAGACTGCGTAGTAAAATAATAATTATGATTCGATCTCTGTATAACGATAGACTGCAGTCGTGCATTGCGACACGACCCAGCGATTGTTCGTGCTGAGCTTCCGCGTGGTGGCAACCGACAGCATACTTGGAACAACTATAATAAACAGAATAATGCTAAATTAAACCACCCCATCACCTGTAGTCAGGTAAGTGGTAACGAGCAGAGCAAACCCGGACCGAAACAATTACAGTCCTGAAGTAAGTTACTGACACAAGCAGAAACCTATCGACAATAATACGACGTATGACATTGAACAGCACGTAGGCATAGAGCTCGTCGTACGTCAAGCCAGCTCATCATGACCTGATGGTACTTTGCCCGGTAAGATGTTTTCAAAAGGTATTGCGCTCTTTATTGCTAATGTAGTCGTCGAACGAACAAAACGGCGGTGCGCGCTGAAGTCTCAAGCCAGCTCGGCGACAAGGCCGTCGTCCCAGAAGCTGGAGGCTGTCATGTCTACTAGATGATGGGTTGGTTCAATTGCTTTCGGGGGAACAATAACTTTATTTGACTTAAACCTGAAGCACAGAAAGAATTTATAATGGAACAGCAAAAGTAAACAATATTTCAAAATGCCTGTTTACTTTTGTTGCTCTCAGAACATCGCTTCTTGTTTCTTTTTGGTAGATTTCGATACAACGTATCGCGTATCCCAGTAATAATGCTACTCTAACATTCGCTGCAACGGTACTTTTCGTATCTGTATTTATGTACTGTGCTATTATTTTAATCGCTATATCATCATTCCACTGTACATTTTAGCCTAATAGTGTTCCTCAACGAAGGAATCAAGGTAAGGCTGTCATTCATGGCAATAGGTCCTGGCCTAGGCAAACTGCTAGAGGAATGAGCGTGCATCTCTTCCGTGAAAATCTACAGTCTCCGCGACGAATTGCAGCAAAGCATCGACAAACCAAAAATGGCACTTTTCAGGATGCTTTATTGGGTCACTTGTCATCGTTTCGGCAAATTCGTAGACACAGCGAGGGTGTCTTCGTCCAGCGACACCCAGGAATGGCACCCATTTCAACTGACGACTACGACTTAGTAGCAGAGACGGAAAAAGTTAGTGTAACGTAGTTAGTGTCTTTTTTTTTTTTTCGTTCGCTTGCGTGCAGTGTTTTGCCCTAATTTAAAAAACAAAATTACCCATTTGCAGCTGCTACATGTTCCGCGTCAACTATCATTTACATGCTAAGCACACAGTAAATCAGCATAATTTAAGGTAAAATGAAGACAAGTCAGAGCTCATAACGAACCCAGAGCGTTTGATTTTGGTTTTGTCTGCATTTTAGTTCACAGCGATGCAAAAGTTGAAAAGTTCACGAGAGAATAATGCTGAATTTGGGGAAGCTCAAGATTTGTCAGCTAAAAAAAACAACGAAGACAAGTCTACTCCGGTGACTGACTTCGAAAAGTTCTTCGACCATCTAAAGCTCTCGAATGATCACTATGAACCGGATGGCATAGCACTAAGCAAAGTTGAATTAGCAGCCTACCAGACTGAACAGCAGCGAAAACAAAACGGTTACAAATATTCAACTGAGGAACTGAAGTCATTCGGACGTTCTGGAATCACCGAAAGTCTTGTGCAGACTTTTGGCGAGGAAGATGTCAACAATCTCTATCCACAATCGCTTCAAAAATTCAGCAACAGTAATAATAGCCACCGTAAAAGTCACCACAATCAACAACGCCTCTTTTTCGATAACAACTATATGACTACTAATTATAACGATAGCAATAGCCAACGTAACAGCCACCCGCAGGACTACCGTCCAACGGTAAACTTTCAAAGGAACTACCGCGGGGCCAATCCCAGATTCAGCCGAAACGCCCAGGATAAATCCACCGCTATGTTCGGCTCTCTGATGCACTCGCACACACAACAGCTACTTTCAGGATCATCTGGCAAAAAGAAGAAACAGCTCTCGAGTTGCAACTAGATGCGGCTGACCACGGTGATTAGGTCCCGACTTCAAGCCGATTCGATTGTGGATTATGGGAAAAGACGTACAGGACGTATTTATATTTTGTATGAATGGGCCTGGGGACCATAGTTCTCGCCTGGTTTTCTCTCAGAGCGCGGATTTGAAGCACATGCGATTACGTACTGTTACTAGTACATTGTATTGAAACATTTGTTAATATCAGTCATAATGGCATGATGCAAAGGTCGTAGCGTGGGCCAACAGAAGGCGCCAGATTAGTTATACGGTATTCGCGTAAGCGCGTATTGATCAACTGGAGAACAAGTGAAAAGTGATCGAAAAAACAGTTACACTCGCAGAACCCATTGTTATATTATAATTATTATTATTATAGTTACAACTATGCATTTGAAGTTCTCCAAGCTATATCCCTATGATATGGGACCCCTGACAAGAAGATTTCGTTTTGCCGTGGCTAATACAGTGTCGAACATTCTTCAGCAATTCGATAAGTCGTAGTCGATTGCAGGTCGACCTCAATTTGTGGATGACCGGAAGTGTTGTTGAAGCTGTCCAAAGCGTTGTTTGCATGGCCCGACAACTACCCAAGTAGTCACTAAAGAGTTTGTTATCCAATAATGGTTTCGCCATATCGTCACCACCCATCGCACGACAAAACAGAAACATGCACACATATGTATATTCAGTACAGAACTGTGTGTGTGTGTATATATATATACATATATATGCATATATGTATGTACATACATACATACATATATATATAAACGAGGAATCAATCAGAACGAAGAGTCATGCAAATGGGGATATAATTACACATATACACCTGGCGTGATGCAAATTACATCGGCCATGTTATAATTTGTGTAATGTCTAAAGTAACGCCGCCGCTACAACTACCATTAGTATTAATAATGTAAGAATAAATTGCAAAACTAACTGATTTGATTGAACAACGTAATAGTGCCGTTTCTTTATTTACTTTTTTTGTACGTAAACATTCTTCCAACCTGCATGCATATCTTCTGTTATGTTCCAATTGAGAACCTGGACACTTCCTTGGTAGTATCCAACGGCCAATTATTTCTACTGCACCTTATAAACTGTAATAATGCAGACGCCCAATGATGGGCAGCGATCGCGGAGCTACGGAAAATTATGAAAAGATATACATTGATGGATACTCTATATCTATTCCACTAGATATGTGAAATTGATTTCCTACCTAAGTTGCCTTAAGCAGTTGAGCGGAAAACTTCGAATTCCTGGTTCGGGTCCCACGGTACGCAGACCTGCGTGGCGCAGACGGGCCGACTGAGACATACGTAGCGGCGAGCGGATAATGACACCAAAATTATATAGAGATCATTCAACTTCGCCGGTGTTTTGGTACTGAGTTGTACTGATTTGTTGAATTTCTAGAATTAACTCATGTTGAGGTTGAGCTGAAGCATCGAACGTATTTGATAACAGTTAGCCTACAATTATATGTAGCTTAGTAATTATATATTGTTCGACAGTAGTGTTGACGTGAAGGTTTTTGACCGAAAACGGTATCATTTCATTTGATCAGTCATTTGACTGATGATACTTCGTGGAGGGTACGACACCCAAATTGGAATTTATGCCAAAACTGGGTTTGAATAAAGACACACATTCTAATAAACATTTTCATATGTTATACAAGTGTCATTCTTATGGCCATGTCTATTTGAAATATAGGCAATATTAAATACGATTGCAGTTTCAACGAAAGACTTAAAGCCCTGTTTAGTCATTTTTAAAACACTCGCCTCTTAATCCACGAAAAGCTGTTCAGTTGTAAGTACGACACAAGCGGCGCTGGTGCGTAGACTCGCTTAAATGTCGCCCAAGCATACGCCATCCAAAAGGTTCTACTGAAATCAAAGTTTGTTCTCGTAGCAAAATTAAAAATCTCAAGAAGGCCAGAAATCTAGAAGATGCCAAAAGTTCTTTTTACGTTTCGCAGACTACGTGCGCCATCGTCGTTAGTCATTTTATCAGATGGTTGGCTCCCAGCACGAAACGAAGCGATAATGTGAACCCAAAAATTAGCAGGCAAACACGCTACCCAATAAGTTATCACGGGGACAGATGCTAGAAGTGTTAAAACCACAAACTTGTCTAGGCGATCCAACTGTCTTTCCTCTCCTTAGGTAGCACGAACGGCCGATGACCATTACGTTGTAAGCTGAACTCGGTGGTAATGTTTCTGAATTTAAAAATACTATCGTTTTTTAACTTGACGATTGCGGGAAATGTCATCAAACGCTATCCCAAAAGCCGAGCAAAAACTCACGCTTCGTAAAAGTCGACCAAACGTCGGCCTAACAGTATCAGGTCGCAACATGGCGTAGACAAATGTCAACCTAAAATCACTGCGTGCGTGGAGTGCTGATAACATCTAGCGGAGAACACAGACGGATCTAGGCCGCATGTTAGGTGTTCAGACACGTACCGAGTATTTCCATCGCTATAAAAGGACAAGGTGTTGCTGGGATAAACATGTGTACTACGTATATATATATATATATATACCTCGATTCATATATACATCAAGAATCATAAAATGTTTTGCAATTACAAATACAGTTTTCGTCTATCTATACCGTAAGGTAAAAAGGCATCGTAATTGTCTTCAGTAAAGGTTCATTTTTATTCACTTTATTTTTAGCGGATTATCAGGTGAACCTGGATCTATTGCTTATGATAAATTATTACGGGGGTATAGTTCTTGCATTTGCTGCTGCTGTCATTGTCATTTGTATCAATTATTAGCATCGCCCTGTTGTTCCATTGCCATCATTATTATCTTTTTTGTTTGTAGGTGTCCCTCCTGTCTGATTGATTAAATAAGGATTGTCGGGATAGCTGAAATACAGTCTATGCGAAGTTACCGCTCCATAATCATTCTCAATTTTTGTTGCGCCCTGTCTACGCTTGCCTCATCTTTGTAGTTAGAGTTAACGACAACGGCAATATCCAACATAACGGCCGGCGGGCCGGCTCGCACGTCTACTTACCTTTCATTTTCTCCTTAATTTTTGTTTCGATGCCTTGGATTTTCGCGGATCATGAAAATTGCCAAGTAAGTTATCATCAAGGAAATTCGCAGAAGCTCTTTGCATCGCTCACCACAACGGTCTGCTTTGTTGAAACAGCAGCTCTCGCTAGTGCTGGGTCGAACAGAAATGCAGCGAACAAATATAAGACAGTTCAGTCATAGAAAAGAAAAAGCGACAAAGCGATTCGTTGCTTTTGCCGGTCCCCATATTGTTTTCCACTTAACAACAGATATATATATATATATATATATTAGCCAAACGACAGATTGTTGTGCTTGTAATAAAGTGTGCTAGTCACTAATTTGTTACCCGTCACCTCGTTGGCCAGATGATACACTGGTCGAAAGCAGAGCTCCTTCGAAGTAGCTTCGATGTTTAAAACAATCTGAACGCGAGCCAATTTGGAAATTCAAAGTAGCATCTGTGCATGCAAGTATTTGTTTATGAGAATATCGATGCATGTATGAACATGCCATTGGGCACGTCGAAGACTCTGTTTATCTACGACGGATTGAGAACAATGGGAAATCGTTATAATCCGCGAGAACGATGGGGACACACACAAACGAAGGAAGCCGTTTAGCAGGCGCAAGGATAAGAACCATCGTTATAGAATGCAGATATCCTTGCTATTAATCTTATAATTTCTTATCATTATCGGCAGCATCAGCACTCTCTGTTGTCTACATGATCATGGATAATTTTCTGTATGGAATCATCGTCGTACATTGGTAAGGGCTGCTCATATATTTATATCATCATCGGTTCTTACTTATTCTTATCAGTGACTAGGTTTTTGAGTTAACGTACCACCACCCGCGCTGCTTTGGAAAGAACGGCGCGGTCGGAGGTACAGGAAAGGTCATTTCGGGCAACCTGTAGTATATAATACGTATATGTTGTCATTTAATATCGTTTTATCTTTGGTATCTCTGTTTGATTTATTATCGTTTGTATAATCTACATATCGCTCATCTTCACTTATGCACTCTGTGTTATTGGTTTGTATGTATTGTCATTTTTATTCATATATTGTATATCTGTTGCCATACTTTTATCATTCCTATACTTTTCCGTCTTAACCCAATCTCACATCATTCAACGTCTACCTCAGTGGTTCTGCTCACCTTCGCGTTCGCTGTATATACGCTCCTGCGCGGCACACGGTACACGCCAATTGCCAATCCGCTTCGAGTGTTGTAAAGCTCCCAATTGTCATTTCCTCTCGCGACCTCTAACCTCGATCCTTTCGACCAAATAGTCCTCCCCTAAACTCCCCAATAACCTCAGCATAATCATTATCACTTCCTCAGATCAACGACAGTCAACAAAACAACGGCGTTGTCGCCTTATTATAGGCCGACTAAACAACGGGGCAACGAATGGGGTAACCGATCTTTACAGGGGATCATCACCATTCCCTTAGGTCAACGCGTAGCCAGACACGAATTCATTTGCGAAAATCTGAAAAACCTGTCGTTGGCCTTTAAAGGGTTACCGCGATGCCTTATTATTTGAACCCTACGTAGTTAAGTTTACACTTAACTAGTATACACTGGACTCTATCTAACGTCGGCCGTCCTTCCAAAACTGACAGTGATCTATCAATGTAGCGCTCGCTCCTCGAGGTGCGAAAGAAAACGCTACGTTGATATCAGTATCGATTTGTGTGCGAGCTCCTGGATTAAATGAACGCCAGCGAGTGAGTACAGTTTCCGGGTGAAGCTTGAGGGTTTCAAGTTCGAAGCGGGCACGGCCTGACGCTGAACGCCATCATGCAGGCTAACAACAACAACTAATTCAATATATGCAGAAGCCCTGGATAACTATCCGCGTTCCCAGTCATACATGCTTGTGTATATCTCTCATGTCCATCATCATCAGTGATGGTAAATGTGCAGTTTAATTCAGCTTTTCTATTACGCCGTTCTCATACTCGTCCGGATATACTTGTCGGAACTATTCATGCGTTAACTTCCATACAAAGACATTGATTAGTTCAATTAACAAGATATCCATTGACGGTGACGGGAGAACGCTTTCATTCATTTGCAGGAGCTAGAAGAGTGGTCACGTTGTTAGGCTAGCCACTGGTTTCTTGAATTTCGTCTTCTCTTTTTTGTTTTGTTTCTGGAACATACTTATTCCGTATCGAACGCGCAGTAGCCCACGGGGGCAGTACAAGACAGGATATCTAAACACAACATTTTTAGATTATAGTAGTGCTTGGTAGTAGTAATTTTGGTTTTCGTGCCTGTAGTTGCAGTGGTAGTAATAATAATCTATGAAATAGGAATATATACTATACAACGGAACCGATTGACGTTACTCAACAATGACGACACTCTTATTTCCTTCCAAATATTCCCTCCAAATACCTTCCATAATCTGCATCAAACTCATGAAGATTGTTGTTTGTGTTAGCGTTTGCTCTACTACCATTCGTATTTCCCTTCATGACATTACTGTTCATCATCCGCTAAATAATAACCTTTTCATTATAATCGACATCTTCGGTAACGATGCTGATACGAATACCCCTGTTATCTAATTTTTTTTCGGTTACTCTTGTGTCTGTATTGTTATTATTATTACTGTTATTGTTACTATTAGTATCAATTTTCATTGCATACGTTACCCCTTTTAATCTCCCGTTTTTTTTTCACTCTTTTCCTTTTCCACTGTCATAGACAAAAATGTATGTATTCTCAATAATAATAGTGACAACAGATGATAGCAATTATCATGGTTATGATATCCATCATCGTAGTCGGCGGCACCATTATTCATAGTAGCAGCTGTAGTTCTAATGTGTCGTATAATAGTAATAATAACTTTAACATAGATCGACATCTTGGGAGGGGGACATAGTTGCTTGAGGTGCAGGTAATGGTGGGGGAGGAAGTGGAAGATCGGGCGGGCCGTCTTCGCCCGTCTCCATGGGCACTTCGTCTTGGGTCGAATCGTCGAGCGTTGGCTCAGGCAGGCTCTCCGAGTCCGTCGGTGGTGGTGGTGAAGGGGGCGCCGGTGGCGGAAGCTCTCTGTCATCACCATTGTTAGGGACGCCGGCAAACTTTTTTCCGGACGGCAAAATCTCCTTGGAGGCATCCGACGCGTCAGCTTTCAGCTTTTGCTGCTGGACGTCCTTGTCTTTGTCTTCGTCCTCGTCAATAGCCTTCTCTGCATCCTTCTTTTCGTCTGGAGTGTCGACGGAACTCTGTTGTGCGGCTGATTGGCTTGTTTTCGTGTGTCCTTCTGGTTGACTCTTCTCGGCGCTGCTATCCTTACTGTAGTCTTCCGGTTGGTCAGCGACAGGTTTGCCCTTCTCGGTAGGTTTTCTTTCAATCGTTGTGGGTGGCTCATCTTCGTCGAAGCTGTCGAAAAACTCTCGTGGAGGCTCGTCCGGCGAGTCGATCACAATATTGACCTGATAAAAGATTCGAAAATCGGATAGGAATTGGAGAAAAAAAGGCTTACTGTCTATTTTTCTCAGATACATCCGTATAGACAAATTCATCGATAAGCATTGTGACTTGTTAATTCAAAGACTTGCGTGACACCTGAAGTGAAAAAAAGCATCACATCAAACTGGACGACGTAACTGTCGATACCGAAAAAATACGTACGTCAATCGAGCCTGAACATTGTTAACTTACAATGCTGGTAAGCACAGGCGGTGGGGGGGGTGGCATTGGGGGCGGTCCGGAAGGTGGGTGTGCGGAGTTTTTTTCACGCTCGATTTCATCAAGCGCTTCCAATGGAGGTGGCGGAGGTGCTTCAGGAAGCATACAGCCCTCGTCACCTGGGCTGCTCACTGGCTTAGGAGGTTCGAAATTAGGAGGCGGAGGAAGTCCATCTGGCGTCTGCACCATTGGGGTTATAGGCGTCTGTGGCTCTCCCGTATGCTTCATCTCTTCTACCACTAGCGACGGGAATGTGCCAGTCTGAAAAGTGTACGAGCGTAGAATTTTAGGTTGGCCCTAATTTGACGATTAACTTTATCAAGGTGTTAGGTAAAGGCATAGAATGGCTGATGAATTGCTAGCTAGTCTAGTGAATCTATGACCTTTCTGACTAAAGTGTGTTAACCCGCACATAAAAATATTGATTCCAGGCAAGCTATTGGCCTGTAAGAGAAATTTCGTTCTAAGGCGGCGTTTAAATTCTATCGTTTGTGACAAGCAAATCAACCTTTCCGTTGAATTCTCCGGTCCACCACCCGTCATCAACGCCATCGGAGCTGAGCTTGCTCACAATCTTGATAATGTCGCCCTCTGAGAAACTAAGCTCATCCTCGCAGGTGGACTCGTAGTCATAAAGTGCCCTACAGCAAGGCTGTTGTGTAGACCCGACAGGCGCCAAACTACTCGGTAGTGACGACGGTGGTATCGGTGTGGCAGATGTCGGAGCCCCTTCATAGGAAACCACACTGAACGACTCTACACCTCCTAAAAAAGATTAAATGTAGCGCAAATATTATAATGAAACAATGTTTACCTTAGGCCTGATCTAACACCCCTTAAGAAATGGAACTTCATAAATAAGACAAGCATAAAATTACCACATTCCCTATTGCATTTCATAATGTTATCTAATATATAGTTAGCGATTTTTTTTACGTCGCGTATCCGTCTGTTAAAGCGATGTTTGAATGCTGTACATTTTCTATTAATGTATTTTTAATTTTCTCAGTTACAATGGTTGTAAACCGGTTACTACCCAAGAACTCTTTAGTACGGCAGTAACTTCAGCATTCGTCGCTTGTGTAACTTACCATCGTTCTTAGCCAGTGCAGTGTGCGGCTGCACGTAGTTAGCTGGAATATAACCTTCAACGCCCTGCGAGTTTCGGGCCCGAATCCATCCGTCACCGTCGCCCTCTGGCACATGGAAATTCCGATTGTAGTAACACAGCAGGAACACGAACAAAATATTTGAACAGTCAAATTATTATCCTGATTTGTATCCAACACATAAAAGAGTATCATGGATCACCAAACAAAGCTAACTACAAGTAACATTTTTTTGCCCCTAAAGTTTTGAGGTATAATATTTAGTTTGAGGACATAGACTGATCAGTTAATAACGTGTATTGTTAATACAGAGAGTATTTTTTTAAGGTTAGTTAGTGATGACTCGTGTGTTACTGTTAGCGAACTTGATGGCAGCCACGTAAATTTTCAGAGTCGCAAGTACTATAACGGCTCTTCATTATATTTTCGAAAAGATATACGCTCATATTATTATAAGTGAACAAAGCGTTTGCAGAACTTTTACCGTGAACGCATTCAAGTTCTTCATTTTCAACAAAGGCCAGTTCGTCCTCATTGGCTGCTTCGTATGAATAGATGGCCATACATCGACATCCGGCTGAAAGTTGATCAGTTACAGTTGCCCAGTCGCTGCCATCTGCCCCTTCAATTGCCCCGGCGCTCTCCCACTCTCCCGAAGGATACTCCGTTCCAGCGGTACCTCCAAATGCATCTGTAACAATGAAATCCGAAAAGCACAGCTAGCGATAAGTTTTATTCTTCTGGGGAAAAATACTATTTGTATCGTATACCAAACAGCTTTTGTTTGACAAAAGAGCTGGGCGCTTTCTTTCAGTGACATTGCGGTCGGGTCAGTTAAGGTTAGATGGCGAAGGCGCCGTGTGCCATATTGGAATCGATTGAAACTGGACAAAATGATGGTCATTTAATTTTTCTATGAATAATATCGGGTTATTATTGCTAGTGTAATTCGACATTCTGAACTGTCGTAGGGAGTCGTACGCTTTTAACTAGCTGCCGCGGTACCGATTGATAGATAGATATTTCAACTTCCGTCAGCGACTTTCTAGCCTTCAGGCCCAACATATTATCAGCTCCTTGCCCGTATTAGTATTAACGTACTGTTTGGATCGTTTTTCCGGAAATCAGTTAGTCATTTTACATTTGCTTTTTTATACTGTCCACTGTAAGACAGTCTAATAGCATTATGTTATGCACCCATTTTGGCAGGAATATGGCAGACTACCCAATTTGGCAATGACTTCTACGGCCGTGATTGCTGCTATAGATAATGGTCAAAAAACGATTACGATTCAACTCACTGGACCCTTTGGCCTTATTCGGCATGGACTGCTGGTCCTATGTCGACTGTGTACATTTGCATCTTCTGACGTGGAGTGTCGCGTTAATGAAAAATGAAGCGATTCGAAGTGCTCGCTGTATATATGTATATTATAACGTTAACCGAACGAAGTGATTGGCAAAGGTTAATAAGAAGATCACGAGAGGGGACGAGAAGCGGACGACGTATAGGCTCAATAGGAGAGTGGCGGGTATATAAATTATTATTATTATTATCAAACGCATAGTGAGTTGACATGGCATAACGTTACATAATAATATCTGTATTTTTGACGCTTGCTCTGTCGTTTAAGCTGAATAGCGTCATCAAGCGAAAGCAACTGGAACATTATAAATAAAAGTAAACGCCCTCGGTTAAAGACGGAGATGGATGTCACCGTGACCATGAGCTTTATTAGGTTTGCAAGCATCGGTAGCGAGTGAAAGAAACGGAGACGATGAAAAGGAAAGTGGTTTGGCAGACAGAAATAGGTAGATATATGTGCAGAAGGACAGGGTGTTGCGAAGAAAAAAAAACAAAAAACTACATCAAGTCTTTTGTTCTCGATATATTATTACTGTTGCACGATATTACATCTATAAATTTGTCGAAGTAAGCTTTTTATGTTGATCCAACGAAAAAGTTTTGGTGAGAATACGATTAACTTATATAATGCTAAGTTTCTTTTTTTGAATAACTAAAGCTGGCACCCAGACTTATTCTACATTGTACAAAAAAGTAGGATAATATTTTTAGAATCATCGGAAAATGTAAATAGTTAAATTTAAAAAGAAAAGAAAAAACAAACAAACTGCGACGACAGTATCGTCGAACAGCTTCAGCACCGGTGGTATTTAGATAATTGTGCTACACGTTTCTGCAAATTTAAGTGATTTCGGTCGCACGATACATATTTCGATGAAGATATACTTTAAAGCTTTCGGGTGTCATCAGATCAATGCTGATCTGATCTTATGTACCCAGATAATTTCTTTGAAATTCTTGGACCTCTTTTACTTAGACTTTCTTCTTGAACACTTTCAACAGAAATTTCTCATAATCATTACAATATATGAGAGAAATAAAGATTTTTTCTATTAATGCTTCGTTCTTCGTTTTTTTGATGCGGATTATTTTACTTTATAAAACGATCGGAACGCGGCAAGGAAAAAAGTTTTTCACGCTTAAAGCAATTTATATGCATGCAACAGTCTAACTAAAACCGTCCAGATGCACATCTTCGCGATTCGTACCGTAACTGGCCGGTTCAGCTGCCTGAATTGGAACACTGGTGGGCACCGCGACCTCTTCGTCTCCCCAATCAGCGGTTGTTGGGTCGATGAAGCTTGACTGTACGGCTTCATGGTCTGTGTTGTCTGTATGGTAGTCGGCCTCATCTGCGGTATACTCCTGCTCGGGGTAATCGTAGCTCTGCAATGAAATGTACGCATAATCAGGACAAAACAAATATCAGTCGCGACCATTTTTGTTCAAATGTCGTCAAGTATAATTTTTCCTGCATGATATTTGTTAACCAAATCGATATGTGAGGAAACCAGTAAACACCAAGGAACGAACAGCCCTGAAACTTGAGAGTACAAAATTTGCCATCTGAGAAAGGCATGGCTTTAGTTTAATCTGTTGTATGTATGCATAATGGACACTGTTTGTTTTATGACTCCTTAAATGTTATTGCACATAAAGCAATCATGCATATAACCTACTGTTTATAAAATACTATACAGTAGACAAAAGGTTGGTAAGTTTCAGCGTACCTGAGAGCTGTTTCGGTTATTATCTGCGGTGAGCGTGTACTGTTGCACGTCTTCGTCGTAGGAATCTCTTTGCCGCGTTTCTTCGTCTGCGGCACTGCTTGACTGTGAGTCAGGTCGCTCTTCTGCTTCTCGAGCCTAAAACAAGCCAGCAAGAAAACGATCATCATACTGTAATCCATCGTATTTCACAAAATCGACGAGATTTTTACTACGCGATTTTACATTGGTGTCGATCTGAAATTCAGTGGCAACGCTACACGGTTCGGAGTGAGTTCTGACATTGATCAGCCATGCCTAGAAAAGCCATCTAAATCAATAGGTGCGCTACAACGCTGACCAGAATGTCAGTTTAGCATCAATTACCGGAAGCAATGCTCGCGGCCTTTCTGCTATCTGCTAAGAAACAACAATTTTTGGTGGAGATCTTGAATCCAGAAGTGCCTCCACTCAGCTTTCGACATAGCCAATTCCAGCTCGTTGATTCGGGGTCGTTTTAATCATGAGTGATTTTTACCATCATGTCTAGAAAGAGTCACTGTTAGTTTAAAATTTATGTTTAAACATACGTACTATATATTATACTGCAATTATCATATCAACATACTGATAAGCCAAAAGTAGACTACACTACTGAGTATTACTCATTGCCGTCTACTCTTAGCTCGGCGCAGTCGTCTACGGCTGCGATTAAGTTTAAGGCACAAGCTAGCCAATGCTATAGTGGTTGCTATGAGGGCGCCAGCGGCTAGGATGCGAAATCACCAATAAAACGGCCGTTTGAGCTAGCAATTTTTTGCAGAAAAGCTGGTTTTTCTGCCACCATCTCATTCCTCTGGCCTGTTCGTGTACAGAAAACTAAATGAGATCACAGGAGGCAGGCAGGCAGACAAACAGTATTTAGGCTACTTACGTGTATCTCTGCATGTGTACATGTGGGATTGTTCTTCGTTCAAATTTTTGTTTGACCGGTGAAAATGTTTTCTACTTGTTATCAGACGGCTTATAACTAACCTGGTGTTATATATATATGCCAATGGTATGTCCACGTCTGTGTGTCATCTACCATATTCAACTATTTTAACTGTATAAAGTAGTAACTTTAAAGTTTTTGTGATGACCTTTCCATAGTAACGTCGTCTGTTTACCCAATCCCTGTTGTTGTTACCCCGTTGAAGGGACTTCTGACTGAAAATGAAACGGTGTCAACAACTTTTTTTTTTTATCGGTCATTGTCTAAAGAGGAAACAGCTTCAGAACCAACAGTTTCTTGTCGAGAACGTGATTTACGGCTGCCACCGGAGAGGTTCATTCTATCACACAGGCCAACATTGACGTGCTGGTTACGCCGATGGCCTAATTTTGTGTCAAGCGTCAGGTGTACATCGAACTGATTACGTAAACGAGCGAGAAAATCGTTGCTACTGGTCTTTTTCTTGTTGCTATGGTTACCGGCGTGATCGTGTTCTCTACAAAGAAAGACAGGAAGAACGCAGACTATAACAAAAGAAGGATATCAGCGGTGAATCGCCGACGCCATTTCAAGGACTATTAACGAAACAAAAAGTCAAAGTCGATTGAAACGGCTTTTCGATCGAAACAATAACGACAACTTAACCCTACTGGAAAAATCCAACAAGACAAAACGCTTACGTTCTCTGAGAGAACGTCACGATTACCGTCGGCGGCAGAAGCAGCAGCAACACGACATCTTATGCTACGATACGAGGTATGTAAAACGAACAGCCATAGTGGCATATGACAAGAGAACAGGGCGTTTCTCTTAACGACTAAAATTATTTGTCTTCCTCTTTCTTGCGCCGTATCCCCTTCGTTCCCTTTAGAAACAGGAACAAACGAATGTAATCACTATACTAACAGTAATTTGGACGAAGTGAGAAGTGAGTATATAGGAGTTTTCACTCGAGAAGCAACTTTAACGGCCAAAGACGACCGACTGACTCGTGGTTATAAAGTTATAGAATCGGGATGGTAATAGCAACACTTACGTCGAAACTTCGCCGTGATGCCGTACTTCCTTTACGCGTCAGTTCTTCGATCTGTAGCGAGTCGATGTCCAGCGTGCTAAGATACTCGTCGACATTCACTTTAAATACAGGCGACAAAAGATTAGATGGAGGTCGGTAATCAGCCACCAACGAAGGTGATTAGTGATAAAAAGAAAGTGCATGAGATTATCATCGCTTTATTAGCTGTTGTGCTCAAAGGAGCCGTGCAAATTTTCGTCGTTTTTACGTCCTATGTTATACCGGATTAATAACATGATTGCTCAGATCGATGTCATCTAGGGTATGACCACAACGTAAGTTAATCATAAACACAGCAGGTAATATATGTACGTTCTTACTAAATATCTATGACCTTATGCACGGATTGCTTTACTGGTTTTTATGTAAAGAGACCGGCCAGAAACCGACCTTGCGACAAATTCGAGCTAACGTGGGTACTGGCAAAACAGTTATTTTATTCAAAATAACGAGACGAACCCGAACCAGTTATGGAAAACGTAGATAATTATATATATAGATCGATCGCGGACTACAGAACACACAGGACAGCCTGTGGCAAAGACACTGCGGAAAATAATTTTTGTGACGACAAATTGTGTCGCTATTAGCTCGACTGCGGCAGTAACTACCCCACTGAGCGTTAAGTTTAACTGCTTTCGAACAGGAACAACGAATGTCATGGTTTTCGTGCTTGTATGTATGTTTTAGTGATTTGCATACGCCTCGTTCTTAGGACTTTCTAAAGGCGACGTCATCGAACAATAACATGCTTGCTTCAATCCATATACTTTAAGCAATCTTACGATAGTGCCAGTTTCTGTTCTATGTTTACACAAGATTGCCTTTGAACTAGTTCCTTTCATATCACACGAAACGTGTCGCCCTAAAATTGACCCCAATGTCTGATTTCCCGCACGCAACCCGTGAAGCGCGATTATGGGGCCTTTCTTTTTTCTTGACGTCAATAGTGGGACATTCACTAGTCTACACAAGTGAGGCATTCTTCGTGACAGAATTCGAAATACTGGAGGAGCACACACCGGTGTTTTTTCTTCAGTCCAGCATGAGTAACAGCAATTTTTCCCGTCGCCGTAATACTAATTCCACCGCTATCAGTATATGTGATTTGTATTGACTGACATCGTTGTTACCAGCTTGTGTCTATTTTCGTCTGTCTGATATGTTATTTACGGCGGCAGACCTAGTGGTGGCCCTTCAACATGATACCATAAACTATTCCTGTAGTAACTTGTATATTTAAGGTATGTAAACAAGCCACAGACTGTAGCATTCGCCGTCATATTTCACACCAGATTATCTGTTCAAAGCCCGCTAAAAAAGGGGATTCTATTCCATGGCCTTAACTATCGTTGGGGTTTCTAAATCACATCAGGAGGACACGCTCATGTTCCTTTTAAGTAGGTGCAATGTAACATTTATCAATTCCCAACTCTAAGCAATAGTCTGCCAGGTAAGCCAAGCTCCAAGAGGAATTTAGAGAAAAAAATGCTTGATTTATTTTTTTTTGAGTTGTCCATTCTCTCTAGCAAGGCTTAGCATTAGCAATCCAATAGATAATGTATTGTGCCTTGTATACTTTGGCATCGTTTTCGTTGAAGTGGGCACGATTATTTGCTGCTTGTTCAGCTCCACTGAGTGAGTTATAGCTGGAAGGAACTACGAAACACGAAATATAAAATACGAACAACAGCGAGTCTTGCTGGATGCTGTTGTTAGCTAGCATAGGGTTACGCTATTCGAAATTCTACACTATATGTCAAACGTTCCTTTTGTGTGATTGTTTTTATATTGTATTTTTATTACCGCCGCTATAAAAGATTTTTTTTCTTTTCTCTCAGCCTTAATAACCGAGCAATTTTCACTGATATAATATATGAAAGTCTTGCGGCCATAAGTGACCAGATAGAAACATACTATACTAGAGCTTTACCTCCGCCTACTCTGAGAACAGTTAGCCGCGCCTCTGCTTTGACAAGACCAGTTTCAGCTCTTCTAATGATGTTTTTGTACTCTTCGATTTTTGCATCGATATCTTCGTATTCTCCACTTATATTCTCAATGGTCTGAAATGATAACGTGCACGCAGACATCGTCAAAATCCTAATATAAACTAAAGTGCTTTCTTTGTCCTTTGGAAAACGTTATGAATAGATACGAACAGTACGCTCTTTATAAGTGTCATTTATGTTCTAATTAAATAAAGACACTTAATTGTTGTGAGCTAATCGATTGCTTTCAGCGCAAGCTAGGTCGTTATGGTACTAGTTTTCTTATAGCGGACCTATAATAGTCTTCTTTAGGTAATAGTCCGGTATAATTTAGGCGTTCTGTCACCGGTAATTTGTTTCAAGGAGGCACAAAATAGGATATTCAAAGCAATGAACTTTTAGATGATTTGCTTCGAACGCTCGTCTTCGTTACATATTGTTATAAGGCTCGGGATGGTCGGCATCTTCCCTGCATAAGTAGGTTTGGTCTACACGTTACAATCACAGCGTCGGATAGTAGTCTTTGAATTTAACAAGATTCCTTTAATACCGAACTCGTAGCTCGGCTCTCGGTTCATAGTAGTTGATTCCTCTATTTTCGGTTAGAAATCTAGTATTTTCTTTTTGTAGAGAACGCGGCTCTTTAGAATAATCTTGTAGAAAAAAGGCAGGACCAAATAACGGCGAAGAGAGAACGTTTCTATCGGGAGGCACTTTGATCAAACATCGCCATGTTGAGTGAATAATTGAGAAGTTTAAATGCAGACAAACTAAAAACGACATGTAAAATAAAGTTACATTTTAAATAAAAAAGATTTATTAAGTGTTATTAGCGTTTTGCGTTCTGGTACCAAAACCAAGCGTTCCGCGTACGCGGTGGCGTGGAGGGTTCTAGCTAAATGATCACACCTGAAGACTTCTGCTGAACGCTTCACACCAGGTGGATATAGTGGCTTAGTTCATTTCTAGAAACGGTAATAATGAAACGCTGAAAACTGAGCATACAAGAATTCTAACATCTTCAAACAATCAATACTAGATTTGTTTTTCTCATTAAGCGCCTCGAGAGTAGGCCTAAAACGTTTCACGTAACGACCCATTCGTGTTTGTATTTTGCCAAGTTTTATTTTGGAACTAAAAATTGATATTATCGAACTCGTACTCGAAAAATCCGACGCGGTTTTCTATAGAATATACTTCAAAGATGATGGTTCGAAGGGTATCGCATATGCTTCGTATGTGGATCTGAACGAAATTTACCTTTTCGCCTTTGTCCCGTCGGTTATATAGTTTATTTAGCTCCCTGTTAGAATCCCTCAGCACACGGCACTCTTTCATGTACGCAGACGCCCAACGTTTGGCGTCCTTCTGCAACGCGTGGTCCGCTAAATGGTCCGTACAAATTGTCCGAATCTCATCGCCATCACATGCGTCGAACTCGTATTCAATCGTCGAACCTAACACGGGGTTATCGGCGAGGTATTGTTCGATCGAGTATCGTTTCGTAATTTTCGACGCCTCTTCCTGAATTCGTCCAAATGATGAGCTGCACGCTGCGACCGTCAGTAACTCTGTACGTGACATAAGAACCAGGTACTCGCGTACCTTTTCAGAAATGTCGCAGTCCAAACTCTCCAGTATATCTGAAATCGCGAAAAATATTTGTTTTGGCGCCTGCTCAAGATCTACGTACGTAATGATATTGTTATGCATTTACTTAATCTAAAACGGTAACGGCTTGTTCATACAGGGGGTCTAGCGTCTTCCACGGCTTTTATAACTGTCGAATTGAAATATATTAGCTTGGCATTTTGTAAAAAGTTTCCATCGACCCATAAACAACTTTGAACGTGAACAAAAGAGAGAATAGAACTTGTCGTCGTTTCCGTTATTTAGCAAAATCCTGTTTTTTTTTACTTATGCCTTGGTTCGGATACAGGACCTAAACCAGCCTTGTAGTTGGTATTAATAATAAATACAAACCTTTCAGATCAATCTCGTAGTATCGTCTTTGATGAGCGTTTGCTCCAGCGAGTGCGAGAATATAATCGTTTCTTGCCTTTGTGGACTGAATATCACACGCTTCCCGTCGACCTAAGAACTGCAACGAAAGGATATGAAAAGAAACAATACTCGTTCATAAGAATAGTAAATTCAATCCGGTAGATTTGTTCGAGCTCATCGTCCCTTAGCGTCAACAAAACTTCAATAAGCTTTATGTTATATAATACTCGAAATAGCAATGATGGATGGCAAAGCTTTGGATGAATAATGTTCATGCTCGTTAGTCACGTCCCTGTACGAGCTGCCTTCGGATAACATTACTATTAGCTACCTTATCGTTTTTCTTTTGCAGCGAAGATATAGACGAAAAAATGCCGCCTTTTTTCTTCTTAAGCTTTTCCTCGACGTCGTGCGCTTTACCCCGTGCATCGTGCGCCATATGTTCCTCCTCAAAATACAACTTGCGCGTCTTGTCGACCTCCAGAACCGTCTTCGCGGATGTGAGAAGCGCACGAAAACATGCATACGGAAACATTGAAAAAATCCCGGTACCCCATTGTGAAAGAGGCCAAATTAGCTCGAGTTCAAACAGATTAACAACTTTATAGATTTTGTACCACAAGATTAATGTTAAGTATCATTATATTATGAAAAATACATTAAACCTGCTGGAATTTCTTTCGTCGCAACCGTACGCTATCAAAATTATCAACTGTTAATTTTGTAATCTAACGTAGACTTTTAACGTAGATAGCGTTTTGATAATGTAAACTTCCATGAGCTATATGTGATAACGTCTATATATATATATATATATATATATATATATACACACACACACATATATTCGAACTTCTATACTTGTTATCACTGCCTGATCGAATTTTTAGCTCGCTATTTGAAAAGCGTTAAAATTCTTTATTTCCATGTGAAGTACCAACATTATTATAAGTAAAGCATATTCTACACGGAACAATGTGTATGGCATTAGGAAAAGTGTAGCGCGTATTTTTGCCATCGGAGCCACTTCGTACCTGCTGGACTTCATCCTGGTACTTTCGAAGGGCGTCGAAGCATTTTTTGGCTACGGCAAGCTTTGCCTGTCGCGTATTCTTGGCGTTTTCCGATATACGAGATTGAAACACATCTGCTGACGCTAGTCGAGCTTTACCAATTTTTTCGCTCTCATTCAGCAGTAGACGCCAGACGCCGAAGACAGACCTGCACATCAATACAGAGAACGTAAAATTAGCGTGAAGAGCAATGCAAACATCAATTAAATGTTTGACACACGTCAATATCACTAACATTTAGCCATGTTACAAGCCATCTTAACAGATTTCTCTTATTTATCTATGCTGAGTATTTCAATATAGGCTTGTCACAAAATACGTCCGCCTGACTATAGCTAATGAAAAAGTTCCACAACGAGTTTCGAAATGAAAATGGATTTAACATTGTTTAAAATGGCCTAAGCCTATATGTGTGAATGCACATGGCCGTCAGGGTAGTAACGAACAAAAAACAAATTATCTAAAAAAAACCGTACGATCTACGTTGGACATTTCTTGTGCAAGGCAGGTAGAAGGGGTTGTTCAATGCTTTACGAACCAATTTTCATCATGAACAGCTCGTCAATGCTAAGAGCTATCTAAAGGCTTAGGTTTCTGTCAAGGCCTAGGGTGTTCTTTCGATCTTTCGTCATTTGCTAATGAACACTTCGTATATATTCGAGTGGTCATATTCCGCTAAGAAAATGAACCGCGTACATATTTGATATAGTCTGAAATTAACTGTACTTCCTCGATGGCACCACAGACTCGATGGCAGTGTCGTATGCACAAGCGTAAGCGCGCCCTTTTTGAAAAGAAAATCGCCGTCAAAGTTCATGTCCGCTACAAAAGGGTTGGCTGCGCTTTATGTACGCGCATTTTGCGAAGAGAAAATAGCGCAGGGAGGATGGCTTTAACAGGGACAACAACGCGCTGAACTGTGTTCCACGTCTAAAGTCTTCGTTTTGTTTAAAACCATTACCATAATACATTTATGGAAGCGCCGGGCGTTACCAGCTGCTGTCTGTTCCGATGCAGCTTGTCAATGCCGTTAAGGCTGTCAACTCGAATAACTAGCAGAACACTGACCGTGTCAGACCATTAGATCATATTAGCCCGACGGCTGATCTGATAGGCAGAGTATGTTCGATGACTGATGGAATTAACGAACGCTGGAATACTAATGAGTTGATGACTCAGCCAGGAGAAGTCAGCCGACGACTACACAAATACGATTGTTGGCTGTGCAGATTTACGAGTTAACCAGGCTATAGGACTAAGCCTATTTGTATTTCAATAAAATTGAGAGGCTTAAAGAGATACTTTTTGAGTACAGTCACTTTCTACTTCGAGCAAGTTTGCTTCGTTTTACAAACATAAACGAATAATATAGATATTTTCATTATACAAATAGATGGTGGGTTAAGAAGATGAATGATTCGATGCTAGCGTCAAAAGCAATCGGCGAAGCCCAGAATAGTAGCACATTGTTTGATATATTTCTACTATTGTTAACTAATTATTTTTTAATAAGGAATTTCAGTATCTGTTGGATCACTTTAGATATGTGCGGCATTATCGGGGTCATATGGGAAACAATACAAGCTTTCCTGCCGAGTTTTTGGTAAAAGGATGCGCAAAAACTATCCATATCTACGTCTCTTGTGGCATTTTTGTATAAAGTAAAGTGTTGTATTTCTTTAATGTTATAATCGGCTTAATGCACAACACTTTGTCCTTCCTTCTTGTAAAAAACTACTCGAAAACGCAGAGGTGACCGTTAGACAGGCTGTAGGTATCTACGTTGCTATGAAGATTTCTATTTGTCTTCAAACTACTCGTGCCCAGATCGAAGAATTTGTCCTAATAGGCTCACAGTTGGCCAATTTGACATCCTGTAGTGACAGTTTCACATGATATCGCCGCCGTTGTTCTTGGCAGGCGTTAGTTGCATTGTATCCTTAAATTTCGCTGTTTGTTTCCGATAGACCAGCAAACCAAGGAGGTAATGCCAGTAGGAGAGTCCCAGATACAACGAGTTTTACCCATATACGAAAATTGGGTCCTACAAACTATGAAAAAGTTACAAAGGACTGATTGAAATATGAAGTGTTTATAGAGCTGCTGGAAAAGAGAACCTTTATCCTAATTTTCAAAAATACATAAATATAGAAATAGTTTGAAAAAGTAGGTTATTGGTCAAAAACTATCAATATATCGGAGATTGACTAGGACTCCAGCCGTATCCGAACTGCCAGCTGTCTATTAGCTACATTTTTGGCCAAAATACTCGGCCATCGCTAGTATTCATGTTGTCTCTACGCAGCGTTTACATGTCCTCCTTGTGCAACAGCACTTTATGAAATGATCAATAGCCTCGCATCCTTGCGGCAAAGCTTCCTGGCTGGCCATTTTCATAGCAGCTGTGTGGTGTAACCGCAGTACTGCAAGGGTCCTGGCGCTATCGAACTTTCGTCCATCGTTATCGTACGTCCCCTGCTCTGTTTTTCTCTAGAGTTATTTCCATCTATGCGATTTCGTGCAATATACAATTGCTTGCTCGCCGTACGGCTCAGGTCTAATCTTTTTTGTCGGTTAAGCCTACTTCCGTCAACCTCCCTTTTAGTCCTTCGTGACCACCTCACATGTATATACCTAGAGTATATACATATATTTTATTTTACCCACATCAGAATCAGTGATGTCTATGCCATGTCAACCTATGACCGTACTTAGAGTCTAAGGACTAACGGTTATAATGTTTACCGCAATAATTATACTATTCGCTCTATTGTTTATCGTTATAAAACTTTCGTTTGGACAACTGAAGCAATCTATTTATCGACAAACAATGCCAGAAGGAGTGTGTTGAAGATGTGACTCAAGGGAGCTTCGTCTTTGCGAGATCAACAGGGTTTTCAAAGGGAAAGTTATATCTCAAGGACAAACAATCAAGGCTCTATTGTATGACTTTCAAGCTCAACAAAAGAGGTAACCATGCAACCGGTTCCCACAGACGCACTAAAGCTGCCTGTTCCTAAATTTATTAGTGAGTGTGAAGAATTTGGCTCAAATAAAAACTTTGTTCAGAAACCCCAAACCCAACAAACCAGTTGTGTTGGCAAGGGTAATTTATTTTACAAATAATACATGTGATTAGTATATCTTAACAGTCAACGATCAACGTTTATACTTGTAGTTATTATTTGATTTTGGAAGAATTGATCTACATCAATTGAGGGTCTTAATCGGTCGAATCAACTAAAGATTTGACTATGTTTATAAAATACTTCAGCTGTATAAAAGTAAATAAATAAAGTGAGCTGTCTTTCCGAAAGGTAAAATTAATTATTTCCCTTTTTTAATCAACTATCACGTATCCTTTCACTGATAAAGATTACTTCTGATGAAAAAAGATACGCTACACATACACTTTTTTTCCTAAGAACTTAGAAAGTCCACCCTTAGTCTACGCGATTCGTTACGTGTCCGAAAATTTGTGCACACTAACAGGCGTGAATAATTTTTTTTTAATTATAAATACGTACTTAATTTCAGCCTTATCTTCAGTTTTGTAGTCGATTCCGGGCGGCGGTTTTTTGGCCAGGTATGTCGTAGCCAATTTGACCATCGCCGTACCATAGTCCTTTTCGATTTGTGCGCGGATCTTCGTGAAATTCCTGCAAAAAAGTAATTGCAATAATAATTTGTATATGTCAATATCGTAGTGTAACTATTATAGAGCTACTAATTCACACTTAGTTGAATATGAGCAATGAGCCGTATTTAGATTAGTCTGCTACCAAAATACGCCAAAATAGGGCTTGAAGGTTCAAACGATAATAAGAATCACCTCTATCCAAACTTAGGCTTTACTAGATGAAATAATAGTTTGCTTAGAAGAAAACCTTTTTGGCATAAATCATCTACAGTTCGCTGGTTTGCAATTCGAATTTAGGCCCGGTTTTTTAGTTAAGCATTTATGATGTCATTGGTCCTTAGACGGTTGAAGCCGGTTTCAGTGAGGCCTAAAGACTATAAAGAATTATACATTGTTAGATATATGTGTGAATTACATAAGTTCAGACTTACACCTTGATGGGACCGTACAACTTTGAGAAATTTCAGCTTTACAATTATTCATTTGGCTGTTAAGGCTTAGTCTCAGTTGGGGTACGCCAAGACCTACCGGATGTCATCGAGCAATTCGGTGTCCTGTTGGTGCTTCAACTGCAACTTAGATAGCTGCTCGCTATGAACCGTTTTTAGTTGATTTGAGTGCTTCACCTGCAATGGCAGTTGGTTAAGCAAAACCGTTATTCAGGCCCATTGAAAAATATATATATATTATCAATCCTATAATTTGTCTACTTTATTGGAGTTTCAAGTATTATCTAGTTCGTTGTTAGCAACTTTGCCCTATCTATAATAGGCCAAGATTAGGTCAACGTCTATATGATGTTTACAATACACATTGCTTGATATATATTTCGTGTCACGTGTTGAAAACAGCTATGGCTTAGGCATATACGTCACTGTTTTTTTATTTGAACATAAGCTAGATGTGTTATTATTTGTATAACTATATTTAATTTGTAATAACTATATTTTTAATGCAATATATAACGAGGATAACCCGTTTTTTAGATAGGTTGAAATACCCAATGCTTTTGTTGTCCATATTAAGGTTTTCGCACTTAACTTAGTTCTGCGGCTAACTTGAAAGTTCGAGTTTCTAAAGTGACCTTATACACGAATAACAATTCTATAAATCGACCTACCTTCCAGAGAAGAATACCTGCCAGATTTGCTCGTGTGAATTTGTATGTAAATCCGTATAATATTCTATAAGACGACAATCGCACGCCATTGAGCGAGCTTGTATCTGGAATCCTTGTACATATTCATAACACATTTACAATTGGCTTTCAAAGTTTGGAACGGTCTCTTGAAGCTAGCCGCAACCTAATAAAGACAGGCCTTAATATGTGCACTACCTTTTTAAGTAAACACCATCAATTTTAACAATCGATCACAGATAAAATGACCGTGTTTGTGCTAGCATGCAACAACAATGGCTATATGCAATGCGCCGTAACTGACTGGGGTAAGAATTCACGTAGACCTAAAATTCTATAATAATTTGCTCTAATTATTGGCGGTCTACAGCCTCCTAGTTAGGAATGTTTGAAAACACATTTTTTCTTGCTCTTGACAGTCTTTTGTCGATTGTGCCTGGACGGCTACCGTTAGTGTTGACACCAGCAGAAGTAGGTCACGTATGGCTGTTTTGAACAAGCGAATGCCGGAGATGAACATATTTTCAAACGGAAATACAACCTTCGTGCAACCACGTCCGCCGGATCGCGACAATCTCTTTCGCCCGTCGTTTGCTTACCCATACACAAGTGCAAAACCCAGGTAGCTGAAGTCAAAGCGACATACCGGCACTCATATACGTTCATAGTCGTCTGCAGATTCCAAAGCTTCACATATAGGAAGCTTGCCCACACTTGGCGAGTGGTTCGTTCTTGTAAGCGGCAGATGGTGTTGAAGAGTTCGCATCCGCTTCGTACCGTGCATCATGTGCCCCCTCATTCTCAATGCTTGTTGGTGTTGTGGCATAACAAGGGTCCCCAGAATCATTGGTGTCTCTTATTTCTCAGTGGTTGCTCCTCGATATTGCCACGGGGCGATCGCTAAGGGGAAGTCAGCGGGCCGTCTAGCGAAACAGGGCGTGCAAAAGATAGCGGCTCCTGATATGAACGCTACTATCACAAGTGCCCTTTTCCAAATTATCTGATTTTTATGTCGGATGCCGGATATTATTGCGGGGCGACAGTTACGAGCATCTCGTGCAGTACGAGCTATTCCCCTATACCCCGCACAGACCTTTTCGGTGGAATTGCTGTCAGGTCGCATTAAGCACCGCATGGTTGACGGTACGCGACCTGCTTTTATTTATGTGGGCACAGCTATCGATGCTGTTGGTCGACGACGCCATGAACCTTCCGCGCGCTGTCTGCGAAACTGAGCAGTGAAATTGCGTATAGGCACGCAACCCCTGTCAGCACTTCACTGCCGCAGTAGCACAAGCCGCTACGAGCATATGAACAGGCAGTAAAGTACTCGCATAGGCTGTGTCCTGGTACATAATTGTATTCACTGTACTGGGCATAACTTCAGGTATTAGATAGGACATCTAACATCGTACAATACGAGGCTAAGTAAATGAAGTCTATGCAACTATCCCACAGCTCTTCGGTTCGGTCTTCCAACGATGATCGAGGACAATACTCCTCCAGAGTACATGGTACTAAAGCAGGTAGCCGGCTGCAGCAGAGCTGTCTCGCCCACAGATACAGTCGTATATGTGTCGTTCGTAATAAGACGCACATAGGTTCACCTACAGGTAAATAAATAATAACGAACATATAATACTTCACATATTGACAGATGCACTTGCTAATACCCATTTTTCCTGCATTCGAGAAAATTAAGCCTCAAGTGCCCTGTTCTGGTGAGATGACTTTAGCTTCCTCTTAAGCGAAAGTATCGTTTTTGTAAGTATGAACTGCAAGCGCTACGGTGTTGTCAGATACCAGACTACCAGGCGTAGACGGCAAACAAGATATTGCTATTATACACAGTTGACGATCATCTTTTTGCCTTAATTACATAGTCATCGTTGCTCAATTGGTCCGCCGTTCTAGTGTCACCTGCAGCATCTGAAACGAGAGAGAATCTAAAGTGGGGATGGATAGAAACCTATTTGTTTGCCGTTACCTCTCAGTCGAAAGCTTTGCCGGAAAAATTAGGTCAACTTTTAACCCTAAAGGGAAAATATATCTCCAAGTAACCATTAGTAGAACTGCAGTGTCAGTTCCTTTTACACTTCGACACAAGCGGATACTTCTTTCTCCACGGTCTATTTTTTTGCTCTTATTGCGATCCATTATTACGCATCTTATCGGCTGCGTGGCAAAAATCCAAAAGGTTGTCAGGTAAAATACTGATGAAATCGTCAACTCGGCTAAATTCTAAAGTTGATCTTCTTAAAGTTTCAAAGGCTAAGGAAGAAGTATGGGTATCTTCAGGATAGGTTGTGACGAAACCGAGCCGAATGAATCGCAAGTATCCAAAACAATATACGGAAAGCGGTTAAAACACAGACTTCTAATTTGATGGTAACATGGCGTTATGTCTCATTCGACACGTTTTGTAATGATTCTTTTAGCACTACTAGGCATAGAGCTGAAAGTTCCTTTGACATACTTCGGAGCTATCGGTAGATGCCGTTATTGATGTCCATCCTACGAAATCTATAACAAGAATATGACCGCTAGGTCAGTTAAAATTTGCTGGCAACTGGGTTTTTATATATAAACTAACAAATTATAGTATGAATAGGCGAAACATTTTCGTTGATATATCAAGATAAGGCAGGCCTGCAGGGCAAAACAGGTTATCTTAGCATTAATTATGCCTGTGGGTTGTCATGCTGAAAGGATACAAAAACAACTATTTCAACGCGTCATTACAGGTCGCGAGGTCCGAGAAGCTTGCCTGAGCAAACGAAGAGCATACAGCAACTTCGAAGAAGGCCCTTAATTTTTTCTTGGCCCTGGTTAGGTTCAGCGTGAGCGATGTCGATACTTTGCTTAGGACAGTTTCTTTAGAAAACTTCTCATTAGAATCTCTGAGTTTATCTATCGTACGAAACATCTTTTCTCTTTGTCGAAATATGTTTATATGCGATATCTCGCACGTTGAAGTACTGTAGTTATTCGCACTGTAATGCCTCGCCTTATATATAAGGAGGTTTATTTTCAATCATTGACAATATCTTTTATCATAGATTTGTTCGTGAAGACGAGCGACTCAAACGAGGCGGCTCCATAGTTTAACAAAGGAATACCTACCACGACACTTTCTGATACAGGCGCATGTAGCAACGAGCTGAATCGACGGAAACGTTTGACGTTGATTTTGCACCGACAGAAACCCAGCTCGATTTAGATGAACGGTATGATACATTGCAACGTTATCGTATAGGTATATCATATATAGGACTGTACCGTGTAGCAGGTGACATCAATGTGATACATTGTGAATTTTTACATTACAACAACTTGTAGTACAGCCCGAGTAAAGACGTGGCTTTTGCTATCTAATATTTAGGCCAAATCTGTAAATAAATAACTTCGACGAAAATCTACGAAGCGACGCAGTACTCTTGACGTACCACAACGTAAGCTAAATGATAAACAAAAAAAACTACTAACGGATACTACCGGAAGTGCACCGGAAATTCGGGATGCTTTGAGTGTGATTATTGGATTGCTTTTGCGGTTGCTTAGCGAAGTATCTTACCGACAAGTTTAAATTAGGATAATGCCAGGACGGTGTGCATCGAGACACGGCTCGTCTAAGCTGTGTTCGGTTATGTGAGCACCACATACGCTCTACGGTTGTGAACGAGACGGTGTGATGAAAAGCTTCAAAACGTCAGCAGTAACGACATGAGTTCAGGATCAATAGAAAGTGGATACATTTTGTGTAAGGAACTACAGGGGCCTGAAACTCTCAAAGGCTGGTAGTCAGTCATCATTCCTTTGATTTCGCTACGTTATACATTTCACAAGTGGGGTAAATTCTCGAAAAATATCAACTGCACGAAAAGGCGTCCCAAGTGCAGCATCTTTGTCATTTATCTAAACCTAGAATCGCCACACAATATAAGATTGATACTATTACGCAAAACACATAAATACTGAGGTTGGCTATCACCGCTTGCAAAAAAAAAGCTAAAGGATGAAGAGCTACAACTTTGGCCCATCGCCAGCAAGGCGTCACGCTCTATCCTGACCGCAAAATAACTTTATTTTACACAAGTTAAACAAAATACGCTTATGCCTGTACCATGAGTGAGTCTATCTTTCTTCCAAGGGGTCGAGATATAACTAACACACAATATCTTCATATCATTTCATGTACTATCTACTGAAACACAAATTATAACACATCAACTGTGTCATATTAATGATTCTTTCTGTGACTAAGTAGGTGGCTTGGATGGTTAATACGATAATCAGCTTATCGACTTTATCTGCTGCGGCATGATGTCCCCAGGCCAGAAGCACCCACCTATAATAAAAAAAAATGCAACTAAGGACAGAAACCCACATTGCCTATAGATTTCAGTTGCTCCATTTTAGAAATTCCCCTGTTTCCGTGATTCTGTTTGAAGTCAGATTCATGTTAGCCAACAAGTTACAATACAACGCACGCGAGTACTCGTAGTTCCACGCACAAGAAACAAGGAAGAAGATTACATCATGACTAGCCAGTAAGTCACTGGTTCTTCTCAGAGTTATGAAGTTCGATATGGTATGCAACAATTTTGTAGTTTTAGCGTCTTATGGCCTAATCTGACACTCGCAATGTACACCGCTCGAACCAACGAGGTGATTAATTAATCAACGGATTGACGCACAGCTGATAACCCCTTAACACCCCTGTGTCACGACAACAGCTCTATGATGATCTATCTCCTCAATTGATTTAGGATAAAGCGGTGAGATTTTCATGAAGCTAATAGCCACTTGCAAAAGCAATGTCAGATTTCAAGCGGGCTGTTACAAAGTTTCGAAGGTGGGGTACATCTCCAAGCATTGTATTAAGTAAACATTGATCATCAATCTTCATCAAATAAGACAAGTGGTTCGAAAGCGGCGAAACAATTTCGTCGAAATGTTTTTTTTGCTAATTTTTCTAAAGACCGAAATCCATACTACCTTTGTCTACGTGTTTGGTCATGGATAGTTGCGCTCTTCAGAACTGGTAACGACTGCGCAATTGCCAATTGTAAACTTTTTGATAAGTAATCGACTTCTGCATAAAATATTATACCATCAAAAAAAAATCATGCTTTAAAATTAAGTTATAAAAACACATTGATGTTATTATTTATATAAAAATGGTTAGATATATATATATATATATATATATATAGTAGACAATGAAATGTCTGCTACAAGAGGCACCCCTTTTGTTTATTATGAACGCAGCTTTGATATATCAAATATTCTCTAGACATGAATGAAAGGTAATGTGAATGTTATACTATTTTCATATAGCGTTATCCTAATAGTCCTTGGGTGTTGAACAGGCCTACCGTAGAAGTGTTTGCTTGTTAACCAAAAAATGTCCCCAGCCGCTAGTTGACATCGGAAGTTCTACGTTGTTGATTCTGCAGCCCCCTCCTTCTGTCGTTCTCAGTATCTTAAAAAGGGTCCATGCGTTCTCAGGTTCAGTACTTCCTTTTCGCTAGCTTTCATCGGCTATCTTTGTCGCCTTTGGATGCGCTCGTTCGACGCCACATTGTTTCCAGTTTAGGTCAAAACATTGGCAAACTGAATAGGAAGGAACCGAATGCTGCCCTTCGCCCTTCCTAATAACGACCTATGGAAAAATAAATTTCCTTGGAGAACTAAAATTTATTTCTTTACCAAGGAAAACGATGTTCGCACATAAACAGTGTATATAGAAAAAAATAAGGCACTAATTTAGGTCTGCTCTCCTGAAATGTTCACCTTATTCTTAGAGGATACAATATCTATGACGTTGAGAGGCAGAAACTCGTTGGTTAACCTACAAATAACGGTGGAATCCCAGAACGGTCGGAATATGCCCAGGTATCCAGCGCAGTTATTTAATAATTAGCTAGGCCTTCAGGCTTAGCGGGTTTTGTTCTAGACCGAAAAATTTCAAACTACGGTTTTCGTTCACACCGACTGTCTTTTTTAGACCTAATAAATGTACTCACAAACTAGCTTCCGATAGCTTAATTTCAACGACTCCTTCGGCTTTACATTTAGCCTTTGGTCAGAAGTTCTACATTTACTGATCAAATAGCCTACGATTACATAAACACAGGTAAAAAATCTTAGCTATCAATGATTTTATCAGAGCGAGCTTAGGGAACATTAAAGCATTCTACCCAGGTATGCTGAACAGTTTGTTTGATCACAATTAGCAATACCGTGCGTCCCAGTTTGTTTTCACGAATCAATCGATGGTTGCAGGTGTTCGCAGTTTCAATCGGCCATCTTTACTGACACGTTCGCTGTCACTCGACCTTATGGAAAGACTCTTGGAGTACACAAGATCTTCTTGACTATCCTGTCGCCAGCAACTGACTGCTCGTAGCATCTTTCTCCTATAGCAAAAAAAAAGGTCTTTCGAAGCGAAAAAAAAAATTTCGGGACTTGATTAAAGAGTAAATAATTTTGTGATGGAACATTTAGCAGAAATCTAATTGACTCACGGATGTTGAGAAACACAAGCGGGAACGCTACCAGCATCAGTGATTCGATCTTTGAATTTAACACAGTTCAGGAGAACAGAAGCTTGACCAAAGGCATCACAGGATGAGCATAGTTATCATTTCGAAATAGCTATAAGATCCATAGCAGGTTCTTTCGGTTAACTTGATACTAAGTTAACTTTAGTGGCGCCTACGCTTGCTAGATGAATGCTGACATTTTCGAGTATTCCGGCTGGAGCCATGTGGGCTGCTGGTGGTAGACGAAGCCGGGCATCACATATAACTGTGTGCAGAACATGGTACCTATTTCATCCCGCTACTTTTTTTCAAAGACAATTTGCGTTGTGTGGCCAAAATGAACAACTGTCAACCTGGAAAGTTACCAGCAAACATATAACATCGCATAGTCAAATGCTCTAAGATCATCCGTCTATGCTTCAAACAAGGATTCGCAGAAGTTACCGACTGAAATCGGCTGCGGTGCGGGAAGTGCTTGTTACATTGATACGCCTGGCTAAAGTTGTTGTACTGACTAACTGAACACTCTAACAAATTCAATCTGATTTTGCCTATTTTTTTTCTTGTCGTTTGTAGAGCAATTTGTTTTAAACCATTTTGCTAGAAAAGCTAACTAACTAGAGCGGGTATACTTTCAAAGGCCGGATTCGTGCCTTTGCCCTCCTCCTAAGTATATATACCTTGCACACTATATAATATCTCGATAAACTTGTTTTCCATCTATAAGCCATCATTCACGACTCTACTGGTTCACAGACTATCTATCAGCGATCCCACGTGCTGCCTGCACAACGTATTTTCCAGAGATGAACGTATGACTTAGCGATGACCCTTACCGTAAATACGAACCCTAGTCATCTACGGCAAGATACAGGAATAATACATCCGCTAATGTATAATTTAACGTTCTGTTGCCAACATTGAGAAGCTGTCAAGTTACGAACGTACTCGTTCATTCAACTCGATGTATCGTATCCGATTGTGCATCATTTGTTTGCTCCAGTCGGTGGCAGATGGACACAGCCATCAACAGACTTACACGTGTCGAGAAGCATTACGTTTACCTCTATGTTGTTTCAAGGAGGGGTGCTTTGCTTTGTCACCATCAAGTAGCAAGCGGGTTTGTTACGGCCAGCGCTTGGTTTGTTGTGGACGCCAGATCCTATGTAGCTATGACAATGTTGGAACGACGGTAATAGTAAAAGATGGTAGGCTTTACTTGGATGGCTTGTTGGGAGCGTCTCTATTTTAACCGCGCGCACGGTTACTTCGCGACAATGGCAATCGATCTGTCCACTTCGACTTGCTCCCCACGACGCTGACCCACGTAGTTCCTATTTCTATTTTTTGCTGTTATTTATAACTGCTCGTTGCAGCCGTACCGAGAGCCGATGAAAGGGGGCAGGGAGAAAAATAGACACCGGGCGCCTTTATTTAATCGACGTTTTTTGTTGCCTGTTTGCTGATCAGTGACTAAGGCTTTCAAGCAAGATGGATGTCATACCTGAATGCTTATTTATTTCAGCTGTATTATAGCTGTCAATACGTCGCACGATTGTTGTGCCATTGTTGGGTACCGTAGGGAGACCAATTGGATAAGGGCACAAGGACGAGAACGCTGAGCAACACATGCGATTGAGTTTGCCCATTATTGTCATCCGTGTTCGTGGCCAGGCTGTATGGAGTTTATTTGACAAAGTTCATGTATGATTGCCCTAAAAGCATGACCATCTTCAGTTGTTTTTCTGGCTTTTAACTGAGTCATATGTATGAGGTGTGAGTACTGTTCTTTCACTCGCGTTGAAAACATACTAGCAAATGACGTATGCTCATGTTTTGCTCACCTTTCGAGGGGGGGGCTGCGCTTTCACAGACATGGTTCTGTGGTTGAGTCACTTTGCCTGTTGCGCCAGAGAAGAGCAACGTTTGTCGGTTGCAAATTATGCACGAATAAGTTCTCGTCCGCTAAAGAAAATTGGAAGGATCCCAATCTGTGAGAGTTGGCCCAGCTCTGATTGACGTTTGACTATCGACTGGCTGGCTGGTATGAACTTCTGTATTCGTCATGTGAGCCTCGCTCGCGGATTCTATCACGATTGCGGCGTGTTTGCCACAGTCATCTTAGGACCTCCTTTTATTTTTCTCGGACGTGCTGTCTTCTGTCAACGAAGAGAACAGATCCAAATATTTCACTTCGACGCAGGATCACTCAACATAACACCACAAGCACTACGATATCCGCCACGATACCTGTCGTCGCCCTCCGCTGGCACACCGTTATTTCTTACGAACCAAATTCCATTCACTACCAGTCACGCGCTTCGAATTCGCTTGTTATTTCAACCAACAGCAGCAGCAGCAGCAGCAGACGCAGGAGTCAAGCAACAGGCTTACGTTGCTCCCAAAAAAGAAAATTTGCCGATTCACTGTCCATTTACAAGGACGATGATGGACAATCTGTCGTTGCCCACCCACACCGTAGCTGCTGGACTTTGTGCTTATCGTTCTGTCAAAGTAATCGGCTGCCGATTCAGCTTGCCTTTGCTGCTCGCGGCTCGGCCTTCGTTTGGATCACATGATGATGTCTTGTCCCATACACACAACGTCGCTCACCGGATGCCCGCGGTCTCGTTTGCGCACTCTGCTTCTAGCTCCCCGAACGGTTGCAGCGCAGTGCTGCTCTACTAAGAGCACACGCCGTGAAAGATGGTGGCCGCAACCCCGAAATTGTTCAGTTATTTCGGCCCCAGTAGCTCAGCCCGCATCATCCATTTGTCCCATTAACCGTAATTTCAGCCTTAAAGAGCCAGTAGTGTCTAGGTCGAATGAAATTTAAGCAATGAAATTGTAAAGTTTGTCGTTTTCTTTCTAAATTCGCTCATTGAAATGAGTTTTTAATCAAAATATCTAGCTTGTCCCTGGTTACCTCCCCTTGCGCAGGTCTGTCACTTTTCTTAGTTGACACGCTTCTCTAGGCGCCATCTTGGACCTTTCGCCCCAGGGCCTCCAGGGCCGCAGTTTGGTAAAATCCAACGCTCACCTCCACCCCGTTTTCAACCCCCCACAGAGCTTTCGTGCCTCGCTAGCGCCCCCTGGCGTTGCGGCGTGCTTTGATTCTTAAGGGGAAGCACGTTCCTTGTGTATTCTTATTGTTTAACAAGGCTATGATTAGACATTGTACTGGATTGCTTCATAGACCTATCAGACGTTGATAACCTATCAAACACGTAACAGTCAGCACCATAGACGAACAGCGTTTTCTGCTGCAACGGCGCACATAGATTCTATAGGTGGCAGTAAAATAATATGGAATTGAAGATAGTCAGTACTGAGACGCAGACGGTCTAACAAGCAGGATTACGCATCATTGAGTATAATAAAACTCGAAGGCTCTATTCCATGCTATATTGAGCATTTCCAGTTAATAGTGGCGTGCCTAGAGCGAACTCTCAGACTCATTCGAAGCACATCTACGCAAAGCACACATGAGGATAACAGCCAAAAGGGTCATCTATCCCTGTGAAGCCAAAGTCCATCGTGTCCTTTCGAAACCTTCTGATCCTGCAATACTGTATCCAAATCAATACACGAACCAACGCACCGAACAGAAGCTAGCCGTGATTGCCTATGATAACCGTAATCACAAGAGATACACACGATTCCTTCTAGCTAAGCAGACATTCGATTCTATCGCACGGAATCCATCGGACTTCCAGTTCATGACAACGCTATTCAGCTTCTGCGTTTCGGCTAAGGGGGCTGAGTTCAAATTCAGTCATGTAAACATTTTGAGCCTATATCATAGTACCACCTTTATGATGCAGCTTGAATTGGTTTTTCGCTCGTTAGACCGTGTGACTAATTGTTTGGTGTTCAATCGTACTTAATAAAAAAATACGACTCAAAATCAGGTACGCTCCGAACGATTGTCTTACGATTTGCTTGTACATCATGCACGCATCGCAGTTTTACAAACATTCATTTCTACACGAATGAAAAGTACTCAGCTGGCAACGTTAAAGCGGCAATACGTATTTCTAGAATCGAGGATCGAAGCGTACGTTGCATATATTACCAGGCCATAATTTCAAAGAACGATTATAGAAAATATGTAATGTAGGAATAAACTCTGAAACATAAATTGTCACCCATGAACATACGACAGCTAACCTTTGGATATTGTGTGATGCACACTTCACCGATCAGCCAATTTTTTATACAGCGCGTTATTGATACACACTTTGGAGCATCATAAGGCTGAGAATGAAGGAAAATTACATGTTTTTTTTTGGAGAGTCGGGTCAATACAGGTAAGCCCCTCGATAATAATAATAATCGGTCCAAACCCGAGCATAGACGTACGGTTCATTTCGTGCTGGGAGCCACTCGTCTAATGAAACGCCCTACGGGGATACCGGACGTAAAACTCGGAACACAGAAACTCTTAGATAATGATGCTGAAACATGGCAGGACCGCCACATCAAAAGGGTAGCGCTTGCGTGACCGTCACACGCGAGAGATACACTCTATTTGCTTCAAAGTGAAGTGCAAAGATACCGTGTTTTCGGAAAAGGATGACACAGTATATGGCTAATGCTCAGGTGTTCATTTGTAAGCAACACAAACGTGACCTTTGTAGGTATGGGGTAGATTTAAATACATCACACTACGGCATTTACACACTTAAATTCGTTTAATTGGCAAGCAATTATCAGCAGGTATACACGTTTCTTAACCGGTTGGGATATCTTAGAAAATTATGGAGCAGGTGCTTTTAATTCATTACAAAATTTAAGAATTTAGTGCACAACTCAAACTTTAACAACCTTGAAACTTAGGAATCTCTATCCTAACGCGATGGACTGTCGCAGCGGTAACGTTGACCCGCATCTCGAGAATGAGAGAATTCATAAATATTCATGTACTTTATGCTATACCATACTTTGAATTTGCTTGGATATATATATCTGATAATTCTCTACGGAGAATTGCCCAAAAAAAAATGTGTGGCCCAAGGCCACGCATTTTTTTAGGTTGAGGACAAGTGCATTATGCAGACCAGACTTCATAACTGTGTTGTTTGTCTGATACTGTGGGACTCTCACCCATTAAACCCTGGACCCAAGTCTATAACACTTAAACAGTGTGACAGCCTTTTCTAAAAATACTCATTAAGCGGCGTACATGTTTGACTGTACGAACAGGCCTCTTTACCTGCTAGAAAGGTGTATCGTCGCGCCAACGTTAGTCCTTTGGCTAACCTGCCCCACTGAATGAAAAGCCCTTTAAACACTTAAGACATCTTGACAAGTGCCCATTTATAGAACGCCGCCGGTTTCACTTCGGCATCGTTGTTAATTGTCTCTCAAAGAACTTCAGATCTTTTTAATAAATTTAAAATTTTCAGATACCCTCTGATCTTATATATGGCATCAACGTCAGGCTATATTAGATACAGAGGTATCAAATTCTGTTGGGGCTGCCTAGGATTTAACATTTCATCTATACTGACGAACGAATCTTCTAAGCATCCGTATAGCTTAAGCTGGAAAGGTCTAACAGTAAATTAATTCGGATTCGTTCTATGTCGTCTACGAACTAAGATGACATGGACGCCAACACTGTTTGCACTGAAAAGTATTTAGAAAGGATGGTGACATAATGGGAATCTGAACTTCAACTTTCAGAATTAATCTCATAACAAGCTAGGACATTTTTAGGACAAGATAATTGAAGGTGCCCGCCGACCTAAAACACAAGCAGAAATTTCCTTTTCTGCAACAACGTTCTGGCTTTGTGCTGCTTCTCAAGCTTAATTTATTAAGTATAGCTCTATTAGCTACGATTGTTCATTACAAACTTTAATCTATAGGTGCCTTAAAATACGGATTATACTAATTCTAGACACAGCGTTCCTTTAGACCACGATCGATTGACAGATGAAAACCTAGTTTCAAGGTTAGCTTGAAGAGAAATTAATAATTATTATATTAAAGTCAATTATTACTTTCACATGAAGCGGAACATTTTATTGCTAGGACCTTGGTTTTGCCGGCAGCGTGGGGCAGTTTATGCTAATCACCGTAAAAATTGTTAAGAATCCTTGGGAACACTGTAGGGGTTTTTCGAAAAAGCATGCCTTCAGCAGCACTCGATTTATAAAGCTGAGGCCACGCCGTATTTGTTGCACGTATTTTGCTCTACACTTCTTTCAACCGGGACACGTTGTCCTATTATACTTAAAGTCAAAATGAGCGACGGATGGAGTCCAGCACCAGCCTTTGCACGGCGCTTGTGCTCGACGTCTTCTCGTTTACGAGCGTTTGGAAGCTTGCAACACACAGCCAAAGAGATGGTCATAATCATTGCATTTTTCTCTTATTTTTTGAATATTCTAGCTAGTCTGAGAGACTTTTTTTTCATCTATTTACCGCAAAAACCATATAGTACTTACCGTATGGTAGGACAAAAACGAGTAGCTCATGGCCTTCTTTTTTAGCAACTCAAATATAAGCCCTGTATATTATGGTAATTTGTAATGAATAAGAAACGATTCGAAGAAAACGAATATATAATGTATCTCTGTATGCTACACACGTGCATTTGTACGTTTTTCATTTGTGACTTTATACACGCGACTCAACACGCAAGCCCAAATCGGGTTTGTTGCAATTATTAGACAACAAAAAACTTTTGTCGTTAATAAGTCAACATAGCCCACGTTCACAGCTCAAGCCAATTACAAGCAGATGACAAATGATTTGAGTAGTTAATGATGAGCGACAGTGTCCTAATCGCGGTTAATGGTAATAAGGTCCCAACTTGACAGTATCATCCAGATGATGAGTTTTCACTTAATCCTCACTGAAAATCGACACTAATTGCATTTTATTGAAGACACTTCAATTTTTATCTAACGCTCCTTTAAAAATTTGTTGTAAAAATAACTTGTTCGTAATAGTAAGACGAGACATCTGTTTGCTTTCTAGCGGTACCTATATTATTAGCAACGTCTGTTACCAAATGGGCCCTCACTTAAATCATTACATTCGTAGCCTTCGTTACTTGTTTAACAATAATTGCAAGTTCCTCACGTGCAGATGAATTGCAACTAAGTATAAGTAAACTTGATGACAATAGATCAAATTGAATAAAGAGAAATAAACACTAAAAAGTAAAAACGAACGATGTGCCAACCATTGAGGTCCAGCTCAACGTATTCGACAGACAACCGATGGTTCGAAATAATGATTTTATTTTATATATCTAAAGACAACAAGCTATGAGAGAAATCACATTTTCAATGAAGTTATTACTTCAACCATAATGGAGACAAATAAGATTGGCGAAGCGTTATCTAGCTTAAAAAGCAGAAAAAAAACAGTAATCCGAAGTCCAAATTTGCCGGTCCTTTTTACATTGCTTGGCTATATTGATCTCTATTGTATTTAAAACCATATTGAATTTGCAATGCATGGTTCGCCTTCTCAAATATATATTTACACAATCATATTCGTATGTGTTATGTTTATTATCGGCTACTAAATAACACACTTGCGACCGAAACAGGGTGAAATAGTGTTTGATATATTCGGGTTTACGTTATAGTCGGTAGAAACTACTCGATAGGTACACGTTATCACGATATTAGAAATCGCCTTCTAAAGTTCCTACTAACTTTGTTTCTGGGGCTTTTCGAGGGCTTTAAGAGCGAAGTGAATTCTGTGCGCAAGAGTTGTACTGCACAGCCTGGACATGGTTTGCACGTAGAATTCTTGTCCTTAATCCAACAGTCAAGAAATGGCGGTATGTAATGAACTCACCTTATGCTATAATCTACAAATATAGATAGCTTCTGGTAAATTAGATAGGGAATCGCAAGCTCACTTACCTTATA